TGTAATTCTGTGCAACTTCATGTACTGCGTGGCTGCTTGTCTTTTGATATTTCTCAAAAAAAAAAAAGTAAGGGTTAACTAGAAACAATTATCCTTTCAATCCAAGTATGGTGGAATTAGTGCATGGAGATTTTCTTGAATATTGACATTTATGATAAAGAAAATATAAGAAACGTTTGGCAGGTTTTATACATATGTTTGTTGCTAACATGAGAAGAGCTGCTTCTCATGCAATTTTAGTGTTTCTTATTCTTCTTTGCCTGGAGAAATTCGAAATTTTCAAAGGCACAGAGAAGCTGGATACATTTCTCCTCATTCAGTCTGTATATTGATAAGGTTTCCAGCCAATGTCAGATATATTTAGGGTGATTTGTAGGCTTGGCTCATTCTCTGAGAAGACCAAAGATACTTTTTGAAATGAAAAGCACTTTTTCTTCTTTCAATGTTGGAGTTCTGTGCAACCGCTATGGGATATGCTTTGTCACATGTGATCATTTATAAATGATGCACATATCCAGGTCAGTATTGACTTGCAGGTAAACAGCCAGATGCTACATTTTCCAGCTGCTTGTTCACCCTAACTTTCTATGGATGTCCCTAAGCTAACCAATACTAATCCTGTGTAGTTCATCAATTCTTCATCCAAGGTTATGTAGCCCTGGGCCAGTTCTCCAGCAGAAATTCCTCACAGAAGAACCCATGATGAAAACAACAGCTTTGCTCACTGTGAGGACATGCAACAGCCTAGAACTGTTGTTCCCCACAGGGAATATCTTTGTTAGATTAGTGACTTCCATGGGTTCAACAGTGAATGACTAAAACATATAGAACAGCAGAGTGGCTCTGCACACTGTGAGAAGATGCAGAGTGCCTTTGTTGTAATGCTTGTTGAATTACCTTGTTGCCTGGAATGTTGTTATCCTTTTCCACAGAAAGGAGTAGCTTCTGAAAGATGAGAAGGAACAAAGTGGGAAACGTATTCAGTCTGTTGTTAACCTTCTTAATATTTGATGCTGTACAAAGTTTCTGGTGTAATTTTTTCACTGTGTGGCTTTGAGCTGCATAGAGGGAAATAATTGATTAAAAGGCATCAGCAGAAAGAACTACTAGCTTGTACTGAAGCTGATCATCTGATTCATCAGATCAGAGGGACTTATAAATATGCAAATTACTCATAGTTGCAAGTGAGGGGAGGAGGGAGAACGTTACCCTGAAGGATATTCACTCATTAATTTTCCAGTGTCCCAAGTGAATACTTCTGTGTTCTTACCATTTTTTTTTTTTTGCCTTTAAGGTTCTGACTTTGTCTAAGAGCTCTTCCTTGTCTTAGAACCAGTATTTTGTGTGCTTTAGTCTTTCCATTTCTGTCTAGGATTAATCAGCACTAATCAGAGCTAATGTCATGTCCTTGTAGCTCTGTGATGCATAAATAACGATGTAACATCATGTGTAGAAGTAATTCAACAGTTGAGAACCTAGAATCTTGAGTCAAGCTTCTCTGTAGGACCCTGAAGAGTAGCTCAGAAGTTCTCTAGCAGCTCCTGGAGAATTATTTTTAAACCCTCTGATTTTTTTTTCTTTCTGTTCTTCATTTATAATCATTTAATAGAGGTGAAACTTGCTTTGGAAGTAAGGTTATAAAACGGTTCAAACCAGATGAAGGATTGTAATTAAATACAAATACAGCTTCTCCACTACTTCAGGGCATTGTAGTAATACGTTTTTACTATGTGAGCAGTACTTCTTTAATAACTGGGAAGTTAGAGAGATTTTTTGAAAGCCAGTGATTTGGCTGACTGCTTATCTCTTAGTAACTGGAAGCTTTAAATACAACTGATTGAATACTGCCTTTTGAATATATTGTCAAGCCGAAAGCACCTGCCAAAACCAGATGATAATTCCATTCTTTAAAGTACATCAGCTGGTAAATACATAACTCAATATTTTGTCAGCTACCCAAAACAAATTGGCATAAGACACATGACACAGTATGTAGAAAATTGAATTGCAAATTACATTTAAATACTGTAGACCTAAATAGCATGTCTGTGAGGTAGATTTCAAAGCTAATACTGCATGCTCTTACTGGAAATGCTGCATGAAGGCTACTGGTTTATCAAGAAGCTGAACTTGTCTTTCTGATATTGTTATTTCCCTCTTTTCTTCTATACGCATTGGCCACATGAACAATATATTCTTGCTGGCATTTCGGTTCTGTGAGCGACCATGGGAAAACTCTACGCAGCAAATAAAAGCTTGGTAGTTTTTTCTTTTTAATTGGATAGAAAAATTCTCAGCTGTGAGGGACTGCAGCTGCTTTCTCCATATCTCAATCAGCAGTGCAAGATGTTCTCTCATTGTGTAATATTGTTCACCCTATCAAAACACTAAAATCTGACAGTCTCATAAATCAATTACATTTCAACTTAAGAGCTTCCGTTGTCAGTAATACATGTTATCGACAATATGCAGTTGTTGACACAGTCTGTGGTAAGAATGATTCTTCTTGCAGGTAGGAAGATAAATTCCACCGTGCGTGCTGTCCAGCTGCAGCAGAATAAATAAATGGGGTTGTCTTGTCAAGCAGTGCTTTTGTGCCAGTAGCTATGCTTTGGTTGCCCTTGCGGTACTGCACAGTACATCTCCAGGAGAAATAAAACCAAGGAGAGTCATTTTACTGATATGATACTGGCCTTTGCTATGGAGTTACTGATAGTGCGAAACATATAGCTTACACATGAGCTGTGCACTGAACAACACTGTGTAATTTGGCTAGCGTTGAGAATTTTACTGATTCACCGATCATTCAGGCCAGTTTTTTCCTAGTGCACAGTGACTGGCTAACAAAGAATGATTGCAGTACTTCTTCAGTATGAAGACTTGAACATAGTTTAATCAGTCGTGCAACTGAGCTATTACGTTTTAATTTTGTCCTAAATCTGCTGCCTGGCAAGATGATTTACTGTCTATTGCCTAGTGCCCCATGGAAAGAGGCATTAAAAAAACCTCCATTGGAATTGATTAGCTAGAGCATAGTATCATCAAGAGATGCATGTTCCACTTGAGATTTCTCTCCATTAAAACCTCTGACTGATTACTAGGGGAAGTTGTATAGAATATGTTTGCTTCCTTTTCTTTGTCAGATCACTTCATAAAAAGGTAAATGCTTTCTGAAAGTAACTCTGATGCCTTGTAAGTTTACAAAGAATGCTCGTCAGCCCCCTGAGAAAACTTTGTATGTTTTTATGATGCTTTTATGATGTATATATGACAAACATTTAGATGAAACATAAGGCAGCTTTCAGTTTTAATTGAACAACTTGCTTAGAAAGGCATGATATGCACATATCCTTAAAAATAACTTACTCTGGCTGCCTTGCTGTGTTCCAGTTTTGACATGCTTTGAAAGTCTGTTTCCTGTTGCTGTCAATGCGTCTTCAAATGCTGTGTCTGGAGACAGCACTTTAAAAAATAAAAAATAAAAAAAAAAATATCAAATTGTAGATGCTGGAGCCTGAGCCAAAACCCTGTCTGTGCAGGCATGGGTGGAAAGCTGGGGCCAGGCTGTATGTGCACCCTGCTCAGCTGTGCCAGCAGAGATCCTCCCCAGCTCTGCACCATAAACCCCTCTCTGCCTGGGTACCACAAAGTGCCTGCCACGGCATCTGATGAGCCAGAGAGCTCACTGCCCCTTGTGCATCGCCTGCCTTGCGAGGGAAGAGCCAGCGCCAGGGTGATGTGGGGCTCAGGAGAGAAGGGGCTGCCTGCCTCTCGCCACCCCCTCGTGTCCCTCCCCTGTGCTGTCACAGAAACCCTGAGAATCAGGCTGTTTGATCAAAGTCAAGAGAAAGAAGACTCTAATAGTAAATTCATCTTCATTTTTGCACTGTTCTATTAAGCCTTTTTTCTCCAGTAGCGCTCTTTTAATATATATTTATATTTTAAAGCAAATAGCTTGCTAAAGACAGTTTTTTAAAAGGAGACATAAAATCCTGTATTCTGAGGGGTTTTTTTAATGACATCTTGGTACACGGTAGAAGTGGCCCAGAGCTGCTAAAACAGACCGCTACATGTACTCTTGTGCTGCTGTGAATTAAAATCATGAAGAAATTTGGGGTGGAAATTTTGTTTCTGTGATGTGGTATTTCTTCCTGAGGTCTGGATAAAGTAAGATGATGAGGTAAGAACTGTGTTTCAGCTAATTCTGGTTTCTCTCTGTGCTTCTGATTCCTGTCTATTCTCTATTTGAAACAGATGTGTAGGGCTTGAATATCTAAAACAGTGGGTTGCATTCAGTGTGTTCTTCAGTGAAGTTATGTGCATAGAGTCTTTTTTTTTTTGTCCTACTTGTTTAATGGCACGATATTATGGATATTCAGAATCTCTTGGGGGAAAAAAAAGATCAGATTTCTTCTGGATGTGGCTTCACTGAGGCCTTTCTGTGCCATTACGTTGGCCAGTGGAAGGAAAAGCAAGCCGCTGTGATCCACTTACAGCGACACAGATTAACAGTACATCTATATTTGTTTGCTTACAATGTATTTGTCTGTTTTAAAAAATGCAGTAATTATTAAAATATCTGCACTTTAGCGGACTTCTGAATTTGGATGCACAGGATCACTCACTTCATGCGTGAGTCAACATAAGCACCTGAAAACATAGTTTGGATGTTCTGCCTAGGCACGCACTTCTGAAATTCTGCAGTTATTCATTACTGGTAACTGGGAGGAGGTAACTGGGGCGTAATTGGTGTGTTTCCAGTCTCCTGACCTACCAAGCCACTGGCTGTTACACAGACTTCATAGTCTGAGCAGTGTGGTGGTTCAAATCAGTGACTCCTGGCAAACTCCAAGCAGATGCATTTTATTTGCAATATTAGGGAACAATCAGAGCTATTAAAATTAATGCTTTTTTCAGGGGCGGGGGGGATGGGAGGATGTTTTTGTTGTTGATTTGGTTAGGTTTGTTTGCCTTGTTATCCTTCCTGTCTCCACTCACAGGTAACATCATGGTGCTGTGGTCAACTTGCAGAACATCGGTACTTAAGTCTGTAACAAACAGATTCATTAAGAATTTGGCCTGCTCTGGGATTTGTGCCATCCTAGTTTGTGTGCCTTTTGACATTGTTCTTAGTGCCAGTCCACACTGCTGCTGGTGGATCTACACGATGCTCTTCTGCAGAATTGCCAAGTTTCTGCACAAAGTCTTCTGCTCAGTGACCATCCTCAGTTTTCCAGCCATTGCTCTTGACAGGTAAGAGGTCAAACTTGCCAGGATGGTAATCCTTGATTTTTTTTTTTTCCCCTTCCACTTTTTCTCACTCATGATACTCATTTCTTCCCTTTCATTTTAGTCTTATAAATGCTCAAGTGTTGTTTTATGCTGTTACTGGCACAGGCTGCCCAGAGAGGTGCTGGAGTTTCCTCCTTGGAGATCTCCAAAAAGCCACCTGGGCAGCCTGCTCTGCATGGCCCAGCCTGAGCAGGGCTTGGACCAGGTGGGCTCCAGGGAGTCCTGCCAGCCTCGGGTAGGTTGTCCAACAATTTCAATTTCCAAATCTAGCTTTCTTTAAGGAAAAATAAAATGAAATAAAGGCCCCTGTTAATACAACCAGAATTATTTCAGAGAAATTTTGTATGTAGAACGTAAGTCTAAAACAGAGGTGGAGCTTTGGACTGCATAAATTTTAGGATTCCATTAACTTTGCTTATTATTATTAGCTGTCATGGATCCCACCTAAATGCATGGCTCTATCATCTTGAGAGTGACTAAGGTATCTGTAAGGAAGGGTAAATACTGTTGTAATATAACTTATATTGCAAAAACAGTGTATTTTATATACATTAGATAAAATTGTTAGTCTGTTAACATGTCTCACTGCAGAAAGTTAGCTCTACAAAAACAAAGCTAATGAATTAGAAAGTCTCTTAGAAACTTGGTAAGTAACTTGGTAAGTATAGTATCGTTACCTATAATGCATAGCAGTGTTGCCACTGGAACAGTTATAATTTGGCCTTTTCTAGTAAAACTTTGTGATCTTACTAATAAAAACACAAGTTGTTACTGCTTATGAGGATAAGAGTAAAAGGTTAGGTCTCCTGTGGAAAGTCTGCGAGCTTAAAAGTTCACAGCAGTAAGCAAGTGAATCAGTGAATGAAAATTTGATGTCAGAGATGTGTTGCTTTTTTTAATGTACACAGAGCATTCAGTGTTTGACTACACTTTTGCTCAGGGCTTTGCCAATTAGAGCATGTGCAAAACAAAACTCCATTTTACTTCCAGTAGCTGCATGTTATTTGTAGCCAACAGGTGGTGTTATCCAAATATAAGGGGAAAAGCGTCAGAAAGTAGCTATTCAAATTAACTGTGCCTGGCCTTCCACAGCCTTATAACTATGTCTCCATCACATATTTGGAGGGTTTGTGCTGTGTGCAATATAGTGTTCAGTGCACAAGTAGAAAAGTTACATTTTCATAATGTTTATACACATTGAAGTGAAATTTTTTTCCACCATTAATGGGACCCTGAAGTGCAAATATTTTTTTTTTCTACAAAGAGACCTGCAAAGCCAGACCCTTGTTTCTTTTCTTTCATAGCAGGTAGTCAGTTGGCAACTCAGTTAGGGATTTGGCAGCATTATGCTTGGACGGTTTGTGAGAGGCTTCACGGAAGTGCTATGCTTGTTCTGAACCATACCCTTTGCATTGTATAAGTTACATGTGGTTGTTTTTTTCTTGGTTTATTTTTCCACAACAGGTACTATTCTGTTTTATACCCTCTGGAAAGAAAAATATCTGATGCAAAATCCCGGGACCTGGTTATCTACATCTGGGCCCATGCAATAGTGGCCAGCATTCCGGTATTTGCTGTGACCAATGTGTCTGATATTTATGCCATGTCGACCTGTTCCGAACCCTGGACCTACTCCCTCGGTCACCTGATCTACGTTATCGTCTATAACATCACCACTGTGATTGTACCAGTGGCTGTGGTATTTCTCTTCATGATTCTTATTCGCAGGGCACTGAGTGCCAGCCAGAAGAAAAAAGTCATCATAGCTGCCTTAAGGACCCCTCAGAATACAATTTCCATCCCTTATGCCTCCCAGCGAGAAGCTGAGCTTCATGCCATGCTGCTTTCTATGGTTATGATATTTATTTTCTGCAGTGTTCCCTACGTGACTCTGGTGGTTTACCGCACCATACTCAATATTTCAGATATTTCAGTCTTCTTGCTCCTCACTGCCATTTGGTTGCCCAAGGTATCTTTGCTAGCCAATCCTTTGTTATTTTTAACTGTTAACAAGTCTGTACGGAAGTGCTTAGTGGGGACGATAGTACAGCTGCACCAAAGGTATAGCAGGAGAAACATTGTCAGTTCGGGTGGTGTTGCAGATGCTAATCTGGAGCCCAATGTCCGTTCAGGGAGCCAGCTTCTGGAGATGTTTCACATTGGGCAACAACAAATCTTCAAGCCAACAGAGGATGAGGAGAATGAAACTAAATCCATTGGCTCTGGTGACTTTCAGCAGAAAGAAATACCTACCACCAGCTTAGAGGTAGAAGAGACTTTGGTTCATAAATTTGCACCACAGATGATTGCAGACTCTGCAGCTCAGGTAGCACCAGCTGTGCCCACTGAAGCTGATATGGTAAATGACAAGTATTCCATGCAGTTTGGTTTTGGACCCTTTGAGCTGCCTCCACAGTGGCTCTCAGAAAACCGGAACAGTAAGAAGCGACTCCTGCCTCCTTTGGGGAATACCCCTGAAGAGCTAATCCAGACAAAGCAGCCTAAATGTAAAGCAGAAAGAAAAATCAACAGAAACAATAAAGTCAGTATCTTTCCCAAGGTGGATTCTTAGGAAGAGCAGGAGCTTTAAGTGACAGATGAAGGTCACCTTCTGTTAAATGTGTGATCCCATGGATCTTTGTTGTGCTAAAATTTGTTACAGGCTGATATTTTTTGTGCCAAATACAATTAAAACAAACAAACGGGAAACACACACACGTGTTCTTTATTAATGTGTTTTCATGAAAACAATACATTGAAAGATGATGATTCTTGATTTTATTTGTGAAATACCTACAATAATACATTCCTGATTAGCTTTCAAGAAAACAGACATGGCTTTGGGAACACTTCTCTTATGACTGAAGAATGGAAATGTGGTTGTTGGTTTGTTGGGGACCCTTATATTAAAATGGACTGGCTATCAAAGAAGCTTAATAGGAAAGGATTTAGGGAGTACAAGAGGATGCAAAATGGATAAGAGCTAACCTCGTGTAAACAGACACAGCCAGCTTCTGCACGATTCATTAATGAAATAAGATGGACTACCAAGTACATCTATTATTAAGCCAATTTTTCAAATCAATGTTAAAATAAAACTTGCTGGACTCTTGCACAAATTAGTTTCCAATTATCTGTTGAACTATACTTTTTTAAAACTTAAAACTCTATTTTGGCTTAAAATTTCAGCAAATTCAAGGATATCCAAATTGTTGTGTGTGTCACAAACCTGATAAAAAAAAAAATCCTGAAATACCACTTTTTAAAAAACATACATTCTTATTTATTGGGGTCAGGATTTGTCCTGCATTGTCTCCAATCTAGCTTTTACTTCAAGCTCCAAGAATAAATGTGCCAAGGGCATAAATGTATCATTTTGATCCTGTGAAAAAGGACACAATGTCCCAACAGTGTTATGTATGTATTATGTACATAAGCAAGGGGTCAACCTTAAAATAGACTTGTATCTATTGGTGCACTCTGCTTGTTTTCTTACAGGAAAGCTAGCAAATGAAAGAAAAGGGTCAGAAAAGCTAGCAGCCTTATATTGAACCTGTTGAGCGAGGAAGCTGATAAAGGACTGCAAAAGGCAAGTTTTGCTAATGTTGTTGTTCACTATTGTTAAGAGGCAGGGAGGTTTTTCTTTTACCTTCACTGCTATAAATACCACTCCTCTTACTCCACTTGTCTCACAGATTAGACCACCCAGCGTACAAACATGAGACTTCTAAATCTGGTGAATCAGTCGCACCATCCCTGGTATCAGCACAGCAGCCTTTCTCTGAGAGTTGATTGTACTGCAGCTTGCCCCCTGCATTGTCACAGGCACATCACGTCGTTTATACTGTGTGAATTTTGAATTGTGTCAGTCTGTTAGATGACCTTGAAACTATTGTAACCCTGGTATTTTAATCCTTGTTCAGTCACGAGTAGTCTTTCCTTCTTTCTTATTGGCATTCACTGTTGTCTCAGTGGGTAGTTTCTGAAAAGCACAATCTAGTAATGCCCAGACACTCTGTGTGGTTCTCCTGTAGTTCAGCCCTTTGGTGCATGCTGGACCTTCACCTATTGTAACTGCCTGTTTATGAAAGTAGTTTTCTTTAAAGCATACTTCTTAAAAGGACAAGGTGAGTTATCTTGCCAAGTTCACAGTAGCTTGCCAAATCCAAACAGTTACTGTTGAAAGTGGACAAAAAAAATATCTGCTGAAGCAAAATTTGGAAATGTACCCGTTCTTCCTTTCATGTGTATGAAGCAAGTCAACAGCTTCTGGTGGCTCTGAGGTGGTAGATTTCTACATGGCATTCAAAGCAAGTGTTTTAATAAAAGTTATTTTAAAAAAAAGTTTTGTAAATTACTGTGTAAATTGTTTTCCCCTGTTTCTTCTCTGTTTTCAGTGCTGTTCACATTTTTGCTAGTTCAAGAACAACTCAGCTTGGGAGCAAGGAGCACTCTCCCCAGCTGCCTTGCCTCTTAGATGCAGAGATGACGAGGCAGACACAGTTTGCCCAGAACCAGACAGAAGAAATACTCCAGGAAAAGGTGTTCTGTGACAGAGGTAGAGAAGTGCCATAGCACACAGACTTCTTTTGAAATACCGATAAAAACATTTTTGTTTTTTTTTTCTGAAGTTACTGAAAACAGAATCCATTTAAAAAAAACAACCAAACATCAGAAACAAAGTAGAAGTTATAGTTTCCTTATGAATTTTGATTAGATTCAGTATTTATGGCTCACTTACACATAGATAACTGGCCTCTGTGATTGATGAATGTGATAAATGGCTACTCAGATCTGAACTTCCTTTAAGGAAAGCAAACTTGGTCCTAGTTTTGTCCCTTTCACCTCTCATGTTGAATGAAATGCCAATGATAAATTTGAAGAGACAAATTCTATAGGATTGTTTTATATCTGGAAAAGTAAGGGGTTTGTTTTTTATGACTGTTGAGAAAAAATATATTTTCATTTCAAATAGAACACATGTAAGAACTTGTGCACAGTTCTTTAATAGATTGTGTCTGAAGACATGGAAACCTTTCCACTAGAAGTTAATAAAGGTCTTTTTTTACACCTGAAGAATTAATTCAGTATGTAGTAGTTGTGAATATTTTATTGTTGTCCCTCTTCCAACAGTTTATCCATAGGAATTCTTAAGAGAAATGGAAAAAGTACACAAAAGCACATCTTTGCATAGAACAAAACATCTGTATAAGATTTATAGTATGGCCTCTATAGAAAACTGTCATCAGAAAACAGTAATTCAGGAGACTCTGCAAGATGGAGTATTTGACTTGTAGAGTTTAATTTGTAACTTCATCCAAGGCAGTGGTACCTTTGAGTCATTACTGCTGCCTGTAGGCTTCTTCAAACAATTTCTACAGGGCTAAATGTTCTACAGCATTCAATATTAAACAAGTCAAAATATCGCACTGAAGATGAGCAAAATTTTTTATGTTGTTTTTAACCACCAAAGGTTTTGGTAAGATATTCTTTTCCCTGACTATTGATGAAAAAATTGAAGTACCAAGCAAAGCTATGGGGATGAAAGAAAAGAAAGCCTGGTGTAATTTGGGCTGTGAAAATAGATTTAAGGGATAAATCTTCTTACTGGAGCATTAACTTGTATGTACGTAGGAGTGGTTCTTTTTTTCCTTATCCATGAAGAGAAAGTGGACTATCTTTTTTTTTTTTTTTTTTAAAGAAAGCATAAGAAACACCAAGTCAGATTCAATTCCTGAATATACAAACATTCATTAAGGCAAACCAGAGTTTCTCTACTTAGTTGCTCTTCTGCATCCCTATGGCTAAACGTAATGCACCGAGATAATGGCTTACTTAAAAAAATCCTTTCTGCACATTAAGCAGTATTCTTTCTTCTGTGCTTCCATTTTCAGTGAAACCCAGCCCTGTATGTCTTGCCTGGGTCATGTCCTGTCCGTAGGCACTGTGAGGGCCTCATTGTCCTAGTCCCCTTGTGAGGGGGGCAGCGGACTCCAGCCCTCTGCACCCTGTGTGGGCAGGCAGCTCAGCACAGCCATGACCCTGCCAAGCTCCAGCCTCCTTAACCCGCTGCCTTCCAGCAGCAGCACAGAAGACAGCCTTGTTGAGGCAGGAAATTCCAAATGCAAATCAAAGAATGAAAATCTGGCTTTATTAAACAAGATGTGAGTTTACTGCTGACTCTGAATTTAGCATTTTAGTTCAGACTTTCCTCCTCAGCTGACCGGTTTCTATGCTACATCGCTACTGCTGATGGAGCGTACTGCAGAACGCTACTCATCCTCACAGTGAATTTCTGGAAAAGCTGGAATATGACACAGGATTCCTGACTTTTTACCCTTGACTTGGTGCACACCAGTCCAGAGATAGTAATCTATTTGTCCTTTACAAGGGTCTGTTTATTCCCCAAGCATTTTGGAGAATTAATACAATGTGTTCATCTTGCTCTCAGTAGTGCAACTGTTACAGTCTATCTTAAAAACGTTGCCTGTTGTAAAGGAAAGCTACTTCATGTGAGTATGCAAAGAAAATTTAAAATATCAAATATGTAGTAAGTATTAAATGAAGTTTTGGTAATTTGCCTTCTGACCTGTACAACAATGAAGGTAGTGTTTTGGCTACCTGTGTATTAAAACATTGTTTAGCAGAAAAGTATGAATACAAGCAGTACTAAAAGGAAAAAAAAATCCTGTATTTCTCCCCTCATTTGTGTTTCTTCTTGATGGGATCAAGGAGAAAAGGATAAATGAATTCTGTTGCTATGGTGACTGTGTTCCAAGTATCAAGACAGCTTGTCTAAATGCGTCTTCATGATGTTGTAACCTATCTTTTAGGATGAAAAGCACAGCTTGGAGTGCTTTTCTTGCTGTGCTCTTTCTAAGCACACAGTTTTCTTTCATTCAGTCTTTTTTTTTCTTTTCTTTCTTTTTTTTTTTTTATTTTTAATCCCCATCACGCTCCAGATAGGTCTCATTTATCATGGAACAAAACTGACATATTCCCCAAAAGGCAAAAAAGAAAATCACACCCCTTTTTCTGCTTTACTAGTTCAAATTTCATTATAAACACACCACCATTGATAATATTCAAAATTCTTTAATATTTATAATAATAATATAACCTGTACAAAAGTTCACCTCTGAGTAGAGGACTGAAGGCGGCAGTGTCCTGACTGGTGTGTTACAGCCCTGCTGAGCTCATTTCAGTTGCACGGCAGGCGCCTCGGGAAAGCAGCATCGTCGGCGCTTCGAGGGGCCTCTGGTTGGATTGCTCTCAAGTTTATCCCTAGTGATGTACAACTCCTGGAATTTCAACTGCCATTAGGATCATTTATTTTTTTTTATTATTATTATTATTATTTTTTCCCTAAGCACTGTAGATAAGAAGAAAAGTTTAGAAATTTCAACCCAAAGCCTCAGAATACAGAAGATGGGAGGAACAAAAATGTTAGTATTAAAACTGGTTAAGGATGTCCTGTTACCGCGGGACTGCTGAATGCTGAGACAGGCTGTCCCCCAGGGTGTTCCCTACATAATTTTTGCTTCCTTGCCAAGTGTTCCCCACAGACAGAAACCACGCGGAGAGGAGAGCGTCTTCTCAACAAAGGTATGAATACATGAAAGCAATAGCACATTCCTTCCAGAAAAATAAAATAAAACCATATATCTACCTGGAACTCAGCATGCTCACACAGGAGGCTAAAACACACCGCTGGAGTACTGTCTCTCTGTTTTTAGCACTTAATGGTAAAGGCTGTTGTATTACTGCCCTAAATGCCAGAAGAAAATGCCAGGAGCAGGACAATTCCCGTAACAGAGCAGTAAAACGTCTGTCGTGCGCTGTCAACAGGGGTTGACAGCAGACCACAAATCCACACCCTCAGGAAATCAGGGATTATTCTGGCAGAAATGTTTGCCAGTCAAAACCTTACTTTGAGCGCGGTGCAGTTCGTTCCTTCAAACTGCTTCTTGTAAACTGCTGCTGCCGGCGGAAACCTGGCTTTAACACGCACAGATACAAGAGAAAGTTGCAATTAATCCCCAGATAGAATCACAGAACGGCTGGGGTTAGAAAAGACCTCCGAGACCAGCCGGTCCAACACCCCTGCCACCACCACCCGCCCCAGCGCCAGGCGCAGCCTTCCCTCATCCCCCGGGCCGGTGACAGGACCACTTCCGCGGGCAGCAAGGAGCGGCTCCCGGCCCCCCGCTCCCGGCAGTGGTTCCGCCCGCTCCAAGCCAGGCCTCGCGAGAGACCGGCGCAACCGGTGACTGGGGGGGGGGGGGAGTCATGGTAACGGCGCCGCCGCCCCTGTAACGGGTAGGGCCGGGGCCGGCCCGGGCGGGGGGCGCTGCGCCCCTCTGTCCGTCCGTCAGTCAGTCAGTCAGTCAGTCTGTCCGTTCACCTCTCCGTGGGCGGGCTCGGTGGGTGTAAGCCTCGCCTCAACGGGCACTGCTGTCTTTATACCTTGGCGCTGGGAAAGCTGCCGGTGCTCCCCAGGTGCCTCATTCCCGTCCATTTCCCAGCTCCTGTCTGCTCGCAGCGCGTCCAGAGAGGGGCCTGGGACACGGGGCCTGTGGGGAGCGGCTGAGGGAGGGAGCTGGGGGTGTGCGGGCTGGGGAAGGGCAGGCTCAGGGGAGACCTTACTGCTCCCTGCAGCTACCTGAAAGGAAGGGGTGGAGAGCTGGGGGTCGGCCTCTTCTCACAGATAACCAGTGATAGGACCAGAGGGAATGGCCTCAAGTTGCACCAGGGGAGGTTCAGGCTGGCAATGAGGAGACATTTCTGCTCAGAGCAGTCAGGCACTGGGACGGGTTGCACAGGGAGGTGGTGGAGTCACCGTCCCTGGGGGTATTTAAGGAGAGGCTGGACGTGGTGCTTAGGGACATGGTCTAGTGGGTGACATTGGTCGTAGGGGGGTGGTTGGAGCAGATGATCATGGAGGTCTTTTCCAACCTTAATGATGCAACGCTTCTATGTCCGTTGTTTAAAAGCAAAATTGAAAGGGGACTGGGAACATGGTCTCTTGGATTTGAGAGCTCCTCCTGTTTAGAAGCAATGGGCATGAAACAAAATAAGCCGTGGCACTTCCTCATGCCAGGTGTGCAAGTACTTTTAAGGTTCATGCAAGCTGAAGTTTCACTGAAGCACACTTGAATCCTTTGATTATAAATATATATATATATTATATATATATATATTTATATATTTCTTATATATAAAAACTGACTGCTGGAGTAGCAAGCTAGTCTGTACTAGAAAGACCTCTCAATATTGAATTGCCAGAAAGGATTTGAAACTTGTTTGATCTACATGTGAAATGAGCTTGTATTCTTGCTTTATTAATAAACTGGTAGTTTGGAAGGTGTTTTTATTACTGTTATTTTTTCTTCAGTTTTAGATTGCAATGCATATTATGAGGTGGAGCTTGGATAAAATTTCAAGGTCTGCATTGAAAGAGCTTATACTAGTTGTAGATCTTTAAGTGCATCTATGGAGTTATTAACACCAGAGCCATGTTTGCCAAAGGTAATTCTTTTCACCTTAGCTGCTTAGAAACTCTGTGCTTTCTTAGCAGAATGCCAAAGAAATAAGATTCTGCTCTTTTAGTATTGCATACAGTTCTGGTGTGTGTCAGTGTGCTAAGGAGTTATGTGAAACTTCATGAATTTGGACTGCTCCTTATGCATGTATGGAATAATGTTTAGTTTTTTTAAGTCGGAATCTTCTAGGTTTGCTGCAGAAAGGTCTGTTCAGCATTACCACCTGGAAAACTTGGTTGTATTAATTTTAATACTTAATCAGATTATTAAATAAATCCTATTTAAAGTGTTTGTTTGTTTGTTTGTTTTAGTTAATAGTATTCCAGCAAATACAGGCAAGCTCCAGGAGTTTGACAAATTCTATTGGAAGGAAGGTGTTTTGTCCATCCTTTGAAAAAATTAATATCAGGGTTTAACTTAATTTTGGGAATGAGGGTATGTAATACAGTTGTTAGGTTGTAGGAACTGGGACTTGAGAATCTGAGATTTAGGTTTGAGATTTAGTGCTGTACTGTTCACCTGTCCGTAGAATGGGATCATACCTAAATTCTTCTTAAAGATGTTAAAAATATATATATTTTTGTAGGTTCACTGTCAGGTATTAGGGTTACTATGAGATAACTTTGAATCCAAGTTCTCACGTAACCATCATTGGCAATTGCATGAAAATTGCTGTCTCTCGAGACTGATGAATTAGGCATAAGCATTTCAGCCTTTCAAAAGCTCTAGAAAAAACTCTGTGGTATGACCAAGAGATGAGGATGCAACCTGGTGCAGAGCAGCCAGTGTCAGGAAATGGTTGAGGCTGTTGCACACGCAGACTGGTTGGCTGTACTCTGCTGTAGTGGAAGTGGCATACATCTTTAGAAGTCCTTCCTAGTGTGACAATCCCAACTCCAGCAGCCTGTGATAAGATGAGCCTGAGCAAACAGACTCATTAGTGTGTCAGAACACTGAATATTGGGTATCAGATCTGAAAATTGTTATTTTATTTAAGAGGTATTTTGCAGTCTTACGTTGAAGCATTATTAGCCTGTGTAATATTATGTAATTGTCATGATTACCTGTGATTATCCTCCCAGCCCTACAGATTTATATCTGTGTGATATTAACTAATTTACATTTCATAGGTTGATTCACCTGTCAGTCTGGGTGGTAGTCATCAAAGAAATTTAGAAGACTGCTCTCCAGAAAAAAGCAAAGGTGATGGCAGAGGGAAATCTGATACCAAGGAAGTAAGAACAGATCAGCAAACCTCAGTGGAGAGTGTGTCCTTTTTTCAGGAGTGTGTGCTGAATCCCAATGAGTCAGGTGCGGGGATGCCTAACATTTCTTTTGGTGTGACTAGACCAAATACTGTGTCAGTAAAGTGTGGGTAAAATTCTGTTAGTGGAGGGCAAAGAGAATGTAAACAAATAAAGTCTCCAAAAAAGAAAGAGGAGGAAAATGGTGGTGTCAAAATTCATGCCTTCACTTCTTTTCACTATTTTGAAGCTATCTTTGAAATAACCATGCTAATAGGTTTGATTACGCTATGTGGCGTCTAAGCTGTGACCTGCACCTTGGTGATGGCCTAGAAAATCAGGAGAAATTCTCTGCACTTGTTTTATGGAACCACATTAGAAAGTATTTTCAGTAAGGTGTTTTTATTCAACTTTTCAAAGATCACGACCATTTGTGAGAACTTTATATTCTAATAATGGTCCATCAGACCAAATAAAGGGAAATGATTTTTGTAAATTTTAGTATTTAACAACTAAACAATGTAAATACTAATAGCAGTCTTTAAATACAAATGTACAATATCTCATTGTAATGAAATCACTTGTTGAAGTGCTTCACATGGAATTCTTTTGGCATTCTATAAATGCTAATAAACTGGCTTTCCAGAGCTTCTGCCTATTTAAAAATAGACAAGTGAAGGCCAGTATGCGAAGCAGAAAGTTTCAATATCTGCTTTAAGCTTAGATAGCTTTCCTGACAGAATTGAGGTCAAAAGAAATCCCATGATTTCTAACATGAGTACTGGCGTACCAGTATGTACCATTTTTTAGAGAGTAATCCAATTTTTAAAAATCTGAGAGTAATCCACTTCAGTTCAGGCTCTCTGTTGTTCCTGAAATGACAAAAAATATTTTGTTCTCTTAGTTATTAAAATGTCAATAAGTTTATTTCACATCTATAATATTGTGAAAGGCTTTTTTTTTTTTTTTCCCAGGATGTGTCTCTAATTCAGATTCTGGAGATGATAGCACTGAAACACAGACTTCGAAATTCTGTGAACCTTCCCAAGGAAAAACAAGTAATGCCAAAGAGGGTATTACTTTTCAGGTGTATAAAGTGTAGGGTGCAATAAATTAATGGTTTTTCCTTTTCTTGTTAATGCTCATTGAAAATGTATATGCCTTGTACTATTCAAGAGGTATTGGACAAATCATTCATTTAAAGATTATTTAATTAAAGATTACTTTATTTAATGATATGTTAGTATTTAGGTTTTATGTAGATAGACCAGTCTAATAAGGCAAATGCAGTGGTGGTTCTATCTAGTTGTTCATCTCACACAGTGTTCATTTCTTTGGAACAGAAACTGGGGGCACGGACAGTGCCACAAATGTTTTTCTACTCTTGCCATGGAAGCTAAATTCCAGTAGGAAAGAAGGTGCTATGACATGAGAGTGCTATAGAAAGAGGAAAGGCTAAAAGTGATAAGAAATTGAAATCTTAGTATTTAGGAAAAAGAAGTCACAACACAAAAATCCATGTAAATTAAATAATGGTAGTTTCTATAATGTTTGACCATTTTTATTTTTAAAAGCAACATTTTTCCAGAACCAATATCAGAATCTGCTCTGGTCGAGATGTCAAGACTAAACCTTGTATAATATATAAGAGGTATTGGAGAGTCTCTCTTAACCCCACAGTTGTTCACTTTAATGAAAGACATTTCAATGTGTATTCTAGCAGTCAGCCTCAAAAAAAACCTGTTTTGAGTTGTAAACTTATTTTGTCTGTCATTATTGCTGATGCTGTGGAGATGTCACTCTTCTATTATATATGAAGCACTTACCCCAAATGGATTGCCCACCCCACTGCCCAATATAAAACTGCTCCAACTAAGAGTTTTGTTCAGTGTTCTTTTACAGACTTTCATGTTTCTCCCTGCTTCAAACAGGTCTAAAAATGAAAATGGTATACATTTCCTTGAGACTAATTGTACTTTTTGTCTGTAGTTGTTGTCAAATTACTTGTATTGTTTTTTCTACTTTTTTTTTTTTTTAATTTGATATGTGTCAAATTAGCAATTTAAAATCTAATCTACAGCAGACTCTTCCAAGTTAGAAGATTCTGAAGAGACAGAAGGAGATCCTCAGATTCAAGTAGCCATAAGGAAAATGAAAAAGCTTGATACAGTACTGGCAAAAAAACATTTTAAGGAAAGCACAATTAAAAAACAAGGCAAAGAAATGAGAACAAAGCTCTGGAAAGAACTTCAGGTTAGAATTATACTGATTGTTTTGTAAATAATATATCCTAGATGACTGTCTTACAGAATGATCTCATTTCACAGGCACATTGTTTTATAAAATAATTAAGGATTGACTGACTGTAGTGAAGAAATGGATTACTAAAAAGTAACTTTGAATAACTTTTAATATATATTGGCTAGGCAGGCTTTGAAACAGGGACACGAACCTTAGAAATTGGTATGACCAATAGTCAAGTATACAGCTGCCTGGGTGTGATTTACATGCACAGAGTCTTATGCTTGAACTCGTTACTTGCAGGTTATGATATGGCATGAACCCAGAGCTAAGAGTGTTTATTCTGCTCTAGCGTGACCATTCTTAGGCCCCTCCATTTCAGTATTTGTTTTTATTGAAGCAGTTAGAGATGCACCCTGATGACGAAGGCATGACAATGCTACAGTGTGAATTTCTTTACATTATTCCTGCCATAGCCTTTAGCAGTTAATTGTCATCTCAAGCCTTGAAACATGAGATTTAGATTTTCCTCTGAAACTAGATTATTGTATACTTTTCATGAATATAAATTTATGTTGCTAAAAAGATGTGATTGCATTTGGTTTGGGTGCATCTCATAACTTCAGTGGATTTGAGAGACATATATCCATTACAGAAGCTCCTTGCCTTGTGAAATGTCTCCATGAAAGAGGCAATGCATAACAGATGCTTTGAAGTTCCACCACGCCTTTGTCTTTACTCCAGGAGATGTTAAAATTGCCTTAAGACTAAAACAAAGCAGTAAGGAAATGTTGCCACTGAACACAGAATTTTTTGATAGGGCCTGAAGTTTGTTAGGCCTGCTAAGCAGATAGATTATTCTGCAGCAGTTTAAGTAAACGTATGCTAGTAACTGTATATTTATGCTTTATTTCTTTTAAATAGTCTGACAATAGCACTGGAAGCCATGAAGAGATAGAAAACACAAAACTTTTCTTAAATTTGATCTCATCTTGGCAGGATACAGCTGGTAAGTAGGAAAGAAAAAAAGACCCTGATCTAATTCTGTATTTTATGGACTACTTGAAAAATGAAATAATTTTTGCATTCTCACAGAACTCGAAGTTGTGCTCTATTATGATTTTTCTTAAATAGATTTTGTTGTTGTTGCTTTTTTTTTTTTTCCCCAAAGAACTGGCTACTCAAGAAAGGTAAGGATTTAAGATAAGTAAAACTTGCTTTTTTCAAGTTGATGGCCAGCAAAGATGATTTCAGAAAGGATGCCTGACTGAGAACACTGCTAAATTGAAGTGATAATAGCAGATACAGGGAAAACAGAGTGGAAACCTGCCGAAAGATTTGGATGTCCTTACCAGTTTGGAACTTCTGGGCAGTAAGAAAAGAAATCAAAATTGATTTTGTAAACAAAATGACAAAATTTCTGATGGTGGTTATTGGTGGTCTTAGCAAGAGAGCTTGCAAGGCTGGAGTACTTCATGGAGGAAAGGCAGTCAGTTAAAAAATATTAGGCCTAAGAAGTTGTTAAGAAGGTCTAACAATGTGGGCTCAGCCACACATGTATTTTGGAGACAATTTTCATGTGGGAATATGATTGAGAGTGAGAAGTTAATGCCATTGTAAGGATCTGATGATATTACAGTATCAGAGTTACGGAAAACCTGGGCCTTTTTAGGAACTGTTAACAGAAGAACCAAAGAGTGGGACCAAATGATGATACTAACTACTCAGTTATGTATTGAAAAATAATAAAGGAAGGTGCATGCACAACCAAGGTCCTTGGAATATGGTCCAAAGAAAAAAGAGGAGTATGGGTCTTTTACATTAGCTTTGATACTGATTTCATTACATTCACTTCTAAAAGATGTTAAGATCCTGATCATGGTAGAGAATTTGAGTGAAAAAGATCATCAAATAATACGGTGCAATTCTAAGGAAAGACATAATATGAACTATGAACTTATTTTTTAAAATCTACTTTTCCTTTTTTTTTGTTTTTCCTGAGAATTATAGGAAAGAAAGTTTAGACATGTTATCAAACTACTTTAAGGAAGGAAAGACCAGAAAGTCAGATTAGATAACTTTTGAGTTTCAGAGTAAAGACAAAAATATTCAAAGCGGAAATAAAAACACTGATAAGAATCAGTGTTTGCATTTTAGTATTTTCTATTATTTAGTCTGTTCTTAAAATAAAAGCAGGCAGACTAAATAGACTCTATTTAAGACTTTCTTTTTAAGCAGAATTGAAAACACAAAGAAAATTATATAGCTGTATAAAAATAGACAAGTGATTAAGGAAGGACTGAGTTCTTTAAGTCAAAGGTAACCAAATGGTTAATGATAAAGAGAAATGTGGATAACAAAAAAAATCTGATCAAAATTACAGTGCATATCTATGTAAAACTAGAGGTAGAATAGAGAAAGAAAAAAGTTAAAGACTAGATATGTTTTCATGTTTTCTCTATTGAGTCAGAAGAGCATGATTCTGTTGAAGTTCTGTAGCAAATAGTTGAAGTATATTCTGAATTATTGGTAGTTTTCTTCAAGAATGTGCAGAAGATACGCTAGCTCCTATGGACCAGGAAAAATAAAAACATTGACTAATGTTTTCTTTCTTACTGTGCCTGTACTCTAACTGGAGGAGACACTGGAAAAGAAGTATCCTGTAGGCATCTTGCTCCTGATGTCTTCACTAGGGAGTGGGGTGAACAAAAACTGATTGTTTGGATTTGTCAAGAAACAGTGTCAAAACTGCTTGAGAGTGGTTTTCAAAAAATTATTGTTTGAGTATTCTCTCTTGGTGCTGGAGATCTCAAATACATGTCAATCATACACATTTTTCATCCTTTCATCTGTATATGTTGGCTGAAATGGTTTCTTGGTTGAAGAAAAAGAATTGAAAGGAAACAGGATTGTGGTACAACCTACCTTTTTCCTTGCTAGGGAGAGAACAAGGATTAGAGGATTGAATGGATATTGCTAAGCAACAATTTCAACTTGCAAGTAGTAATGTGTGGTCAAAACACATCAATAAAACTACTGCAATGTAATGTTTTTGTGCTAAAGTTTGGCTTACTAATGGAAAAACAGGATTTAAGTTAAGGTTGATATTTAAAAAATTTCCACTAGATGTCAGCATATAGCAAAAAAAACACACCAACCAACCAACCAAAAAAACCCACAAAAAACAGTCAGGCAAGGATATACATGTATACATAAATTATATTTATATCAAATATAAAAAAATATATAATGACTTCCATGCTTTGATTCCTCTTTTATTTTAAAGATAACACTTTGATGCAGAGATCATGTGTGTCATGGTGTACTGTATTTACAAAACTCTACTTGGTTTAGATTTACTTTTCTCCTCTAATCTGATTTTGCCTTGAATTTTCTGTTACATGCTTGTGCTTTACTTTTTGGTTTTTATTTACTTTTTTTTTTTAAATGTCTGTCAATGACTTCCAGACCTGATAGTTGCCCTGATTGATACTGAAATGAAATGCAATTCATATATTTTGCATTTAGAGCTTTAATTTGTTAAAGAACTATTTTAAATAAATTATATAAAGGAGACATTTAATTATAGTTTTTAATAAAGCTGTGAGATCAAACACAAGTTTTGGGTACAAAATCATTAATAACAAATTTGTCCCAGCTGCTCAGGCACAAAACCCCTCTAACATACTCATAGCAGACATGTAAATTAGGGATTAATTAAATGGCCTTAAATTCATCTCCTGTGTTCTGTGTAAAAAAATTATACTCGCAGTCCATTAAACTTAATTAATACAGGATGTGGGTTGTTTTTTAATTGAAAAGCGTTTTTGTCATATGAGGTATATATGGTTCTTTTCAATGTGAGTTCTTTTCTTTATGTGCTAAGTTTATAGATTGTAGGTTAATACTCTTATATTTTTTGTTGGTATAAGCTTGTACCATGACTTTTTTTTTTTTTTTTCTTTTTTTGAGTAATTGAAACAACTCATGCATGCCTGGGATCTTTGAATACTCTCTTTTCCTAGACTGTACCCTTGACCTAAGCCTCTTGGAAGTCAAATAACTCATGTAGAGGGAGAGACACCAGCTGTGAAAATCTGGGTACTTTATTCCCATTTAAAACTCAAGGTGACTAAGCACATGGTGTCTGTGGAGGCTTTGAACATAATAACCTATTTTCTACTATGCAATTACTTGTCATGTATGTGTGGTACGTAGATTCACTAGTTGCTAAAAACACATGCATATAAAATAACATCATAATTTTTTTCTGTTACATGTTACTCATGAGACACAATTTACACTTTTATTTCTTGAAGAAGGTAGTGATTTTATAATTTATCCAAGTAAATTTTGGAAACTTTCTTGTGTGAAATTTTATAGCATGATATGCATGAAACTAGGTTTTCTCTAAATACATTTTAAATTTTACTAAAGACTTTCTTTGCAGATCCATTCCATGTTAAAGAAGATGAAATATGTACTTCAGTATTTCACACACAAATTAATCCAGCAGATTATGACTGCCATAAAACCCAACATAATAAAGGTGAGCTTTATTATCTGGTAAAACATCAAGTACAATGACTGGGTAATGAAGACTAGATTTTTGTAGTTAGGCCAAACCATCAGAAAATTCAAGATTTTTTAGTGGAACGGCAATAATTTTATTTTATTTTTTCCCACAAATGATAAAATAGAGTTTTATTTGGGATTTAAACTAAGCATTTTACTCAAGATGCTGAGAAAATTTTTGTTCCCAAGTTATAATTTTTTTGTTGTTGTAGTAAATTGATAAGGTGTATAGCATTCATTGTATAATATGCCACTTTTTTTCTTGGAAATTTTTGAAAAACTTGTGATTGCTGTTAATCTAAGGTATGGTAATCATTCATACATTAGCTTATATTCAAGAAGTCATCTAGCAATGAAGAGTGATGTTGTATACAGTTTCAACTGTTGCGTAATTTCTCTGTTTTCAGGAGAAATTTTATGGATGTTGTGGCAATCCTAAATCTTCAGACAACTAATTTTATATTTTGTTATGCCGATTACTGTAGAGGCTGCAATACTGTCATTTATTAAGTACTTTCTGGCAAAAAATCAAGCATCTATACCGATTATTTTAGATATTAGTTGTTTTCCTGTGCTACTTAGAGGTATCAAATGCTGGTGGTAGTGTGAAGTGTCCAGTACTTCAAAATAAATAGAACTGTGCTTTTGAGCCTCTGTTCTTTCTCTATTTGAAATTCAAATATGTATGGTTGAGTAACTTCTCACATGTGTTGTGACATAAGAAGAATGACTTCAGCTGCCATTGCTGTCATCTGCAATTGTTTATTTTCTTGTCATGTCCCATTCTTTGTAAACAGAGTGCCCTTACTGGTGACTGGCTAAGATGACAAAGATTTTGTAAACAGGTGTTTCTCAAGGTTGGACCATTGATGGCAGCAGAATCTCTTCACTTTACAGAATATAAGCATGTTTTAACTGTTCTTATTCTTATATAATCCAATTCCTTGATAGATTTAAGAGTTTGCGTGGCAATGTTAAATGCAGTTTGGGTTGCCTTGAGTAAACGATTGTGTTCTTGACCATGTCCTACACCTAAGTCCATTAGGATGTACTTACAATTTGAAAGTCAGTCTGATCACTGAGAATATTATATAACTCTTCATCCGTGGAGTTACACTGAATTAATTTTATGTCTTTGGGGGTTTGTGTTCAGTCTACTCAGTCTGAAAAAAGTTATTTCCATGTAAACTGTAAAAGAGTGAGCTGCTAGAACCTGTGTTATGGCTTGTCTTCTATAATCCAGCATGCTAAATTGAGGTTATTTTTGTAGATGGAATAACACTCCGTTTTTCAATTTTATACTTTTCAGAGAAGTACTGTGCATACTTCTCAAGTAGTTTGTGGGACTAAGATATTGTATTTGCTTAGTCGTATTATTTAATATGATAAATACGTGGTGTTATTTGGTGTTCGTAAAAGAATTGTTTCCTTAAAAGTAGTACAAGTCTCTGAATAACTGAATTTGTGCCTATAATTATATGATGGATAGAAAAAAAAACCTTATGTGAGATGTTGTCAGAACATCATTTAATTATGATGTAGATTTAATTGTTACAAATAATGTATGTGGCTGTTTGTTTGAGTACAAGTCCATGTTGAGTTTTAGTTTTAAACCGAATTTGTTTTATAAGCAGTGTTGTAATAATATCAAATATATCATCTGTTCTTCAGCTGTTTTGTTTAAAAAAAAAAAAAAAAAAAAGTACTTGGTATGACTCCAAATCATTCTGTGGTTTCCCAAAAAATTACTGTCTGGTTTTGTACTGATGGTAAAACTGAAACAATGATAGGGTTCGAAGGAATGCTATGGCTTTTAAAGCAGCCGTGTTTAACATTTTTGAGGTCAGAAATCCAAAGGCATTTGAGCCTTCCCAGTATTGTATGATCTCAGATAATAAAAGCTTAAAAATGAGACTAGTCTTTCATGATAGTTATCTCTTTTAAATATAGCTATATAAGTTATACAGATAATGGAAACAGCATATCAAAATGTTGTCTATCCACTTTACAAGTTAGTTAAAAATTTTAGTGGACTTACTGTAATTACAGCTCTAACTGAATCAGAAAAGGAATTATCATAACTTAGCAACTTTTTCTCCTCAAATTTCAGATTATTCAAGTGAAATAGAAACAAATGAATTTCATCAAGCAGAAAAAACACAGAATAAAAGTAAAAACAATCAGGATTTCATTAAAAAGAATATTGAGGTAAGCATTAAACCAACAATCATTAATATGTTATTAAATGTTAACTGAAAAACAGTATAAAAACATTTCTGGAGACAGATGGATTTCTTTATCAGGGACATGAAAAGCTAATTAGGAGTAAATGAAAAAACATCTTACTACTAAAAATTGATGTTTATGGCAGAGTACTGTATAAAATGGTTCTCATCTTGGATGATCATGTTTCTCGGGTAGGCATAGTACTGCTTTTGCATACTTGCTGAAGAGTACTGGAAGTTGAATTGTTCTGTTTGTGCCTGAGCATGTAATAGAAGACATGTCAGAAAATGGAAGCCTTGACTTGCATGCCTTCTTTTCTATGTCTCTAATGATTTCTTTTAATCCAATGCCACCCCCTCCATCCATGTCTCTGTCAATGACTAGTATAAGATTATCAATTTATTACCTGTCAGAGTGATAATTTGTAATATGAAAATAAACAAATTTGGACGTTAATTTCACAGAGTTTAAAAATTGTATTTTGATACTCTTTGAGCTAATGGAATTCTAAAGGTTTTATTTTTCTTTTCATTTGCAAAATATTTCAGCTAGCAAAGGATTCAGGAAACCAGATAGCTATGCTTGAAGGAGAAAGGAAAAGGTTAAGTGAACTATTGAAAGATACAGAAGATGGAAGTGAATTGCAAGATCTTGAGGTATGTGAACTTTAATTTGTACTGTCCTTGTGTAAGCTTACTTGTTTTAGCTTACTGTAAATCTGAATTTGATTATTGTTTTAGTCTTATCATGAATAACCAACTGAGACAAGAGAGAAACTGAACAAGTCCAATTGGCTTTGTCTGCAATATCGATTTGTCCTTGGCTTCTTTGTTCACTTCACTAACAAGTGGAAGTGCACAGACCTCAAATAAGCAGCAGAAGTTTCAGGAAAAGTTAGACATGGATGGAATGAGCCTTAGAAGCACACAGAGACTACTTTTTATGCAGAAAATGTGAAGTTGCTGCATAAAGATGCTGAAAGGCCAGCATCTACTTCAAACGAACAAAAACCAACAACGAACAGCACTACAAAACTCAAGAGTTGTATCAGAACATGAATTTTAGGATGCAGCAGTTGGGGAAATAAATGATGAAGCTTGTGTCTGCATCTGGAAACATAACTGTGTGGCTTCCAACTCAGTCTGTCTGAAAAGTACACAAAGAAGCCAAAAGCCTACTTAAATATTGGACGTGTATATTTTAACATAATACTGTTAACAAGCAAGCTGTACACATCTATGTACTGCAGTGGATAGAACTGAAGTAAATAGAAATACTTTTCCTTATGGAGAGTAAAATAAATATGCGATTATGCCAGCCACCACTGCTTGAAGGAGGCTATGTGCCATAAAATGATTCCCAGTAATGTGAGCATGTCAAATAATCTCTTGATCTCCTAGATACGAGTAGACTGCCTTTATTCTTTACTCCTTTGAGGGAAAAATCATTGTGATAGAGTTGTTGGGAACATTTCTTATGTTACAAAAGTAATCATAAAGCTGCTAGGCTATGGGAATGTAAAATTTGATTTGAAAAATAAATCATAACATAAGCCTAGGGTATTTTTCAAATATATATGGTATTAAACTTTCTAAAGATAAGTGTTTTCATAGTATGATCATCCTTAAACTATGTAAGTTTGATAGAATACTTCAAGAAAATTCATTTTAATAAATAAGAAGAAATGCTGGGAAAATCCTTGCTTTGTTTTTTTTTTTGTTTTTTTTTTTTTTAAATCACATGACCTTTTAAATTTGTTTTACATTAAAATGTACAAGTCTATAGTAATGTTAAGAATTTTGTCACAGTATGTCAGTATACACTGAATCTCTACCTATGAAGAAAGATGTGAACTTTGTGTAGAGTGAACAAAATATGATCTAGGTCCAGTTTCTGTTTAACTTAGACAACAAAAATTATCTGGGCTAAATTTTTCAGTAGGATAACAAACAACTTGTATGTGAGACAAGCAGATGCATTGTATTTTTTTTTGTCTTTCCACGTTTTACTCTTAAGTTATTTTCTGATAAGATTGAGAGTCATCCAAGAGGTGCTGTACTTAATTGCTCTTTTCCAAAATGTGGCTAAAATACATTTTTATAAATTACAGTTTCAGGATATGGGGTAAAGTGAGCTCAGAATTTTCTTCATCAGAGTCCAAACGGCTTATGGATACAGAGCACTAGCCTTACCATGGTTTGTGGCATTAAACAAATCTTTAATTTACTTAACTTCAGTGTGACTTCTGGGTTGACACTTGTGTGGTCACTGGCCCAAAACACATTCCTCTTTCATCCAGAGAAACTAGTAAATATTCAGATTTTTAGCATTTTTGGAGCTCTGTGGAACAAATGTGAGCTGAGGAGTCCAAAATGTGAGCTGAGGAAGATCTAATGAAATGGATGATATAAATGCCCAGTATTTTAACAGTAACTCTTCTTTCACAGATTATAAGCTAGAGCAGAAATACAGAGAACTTAACCTTTGCTGATTATTGATATACAAAGGTGTAAAACTATCAGCCACATTCAGTGTTTCTATTAATGAGAAGAAAAACTTTAACTTCTATGAAGTTGCAGCAGTCTTCCTGTTGCTCTGACTTTTGTTCCATCACTAAACATAGAAAACTTACATACTTTTTTCTGGATGTGAACACCATGCTTGCAGAACTGACATATTTATCTGTGTAAGATACTCATCAGTTAATGATCAGTGATATTTGACTTAGCTGACATAGTTTAGCATTAAAAAATGAAGTATAAATGCATCTTTGGTTTAATGTTGATCTGTAGGTTATGAAAGTTGATTTTAATTTGAATTTATTGTTTATTAGAAGAACAAAGTTAAACCTCAGTGGATCATTATTTAATTCTTTTGTTGGTGCATTCTGGAGGAGATTCAAGGTCTTTATTAGATATGCTTGAAACAGGTTTGGCATTGTAATACCATGTAAAGGTCAAAATCTTCAATGGATGCAGTGCTTCATCCAGTCTTTGAACAGGAAGAAACTGTTGGGAATGGGTGCATTTTGGTTTGTCTTGGTTCTGGTTGGTTGTTTTTTCTCCTCTTGTTGGAAAGGTTGCTTGGTGTTTAATTACCCATACCATCCTCAGTTCTTTGAAAGAGATGGTCTTTTGTTTGATGAATGGCAGCATTTAAAAATCACAAACTTCACAGCTATTTTTTCCAAATAGCTGATACAGATTCTGACTAGCAATGTGTGCCTTTTCTTAAGTTCTTAAGCACCAGTTCTTAAGGCATCACGGCAGTGGAAAAGTGCAACATTTATGCAAAGTTTGTGTTTAGCACGTGGCACTATTATGTGGGCACATATTTATAGAGCTTGTACTCTTTATAGCAAATATTAAATAGGGCACTACAGAAGAAGTGTGTTGCTGTATGTTCTTGATACAATTCCTGTTCTTGTCAGTTGTAGTTTGAGTGTATTGGGTTTACGTGGCAAGGTTTCGCCAGTGGGGGGATGCAGGGGTGGCCTCTGTGAGAAGAGTCCAGCAGCTGCCTCATGTTAGATAAGGGCCAGCTCCAGCCGGCTCCAAAGGGCCCCGCTGCTGCCCAGAGCCGCGCCAATAAGCGATGTTGTTTGCGCCTCTGTGAGAGCAGATTTAAGAAAGGGGGGAAAAAAAACACAGCTGCTGCACAGCAGCAGCTGGGAGAATGAGGAGTGAGAACCAGCCCTGCAGACCCCCAGGTCAGTGCAGAAGGAGGGCAGGAGGTGCTCCAGGAATGGAGCAGAAGTTTCCCCTTTTCTCCCCCTTGTCCTTTGAGGAAGCGGAGTGAGAGAGTGGTTGTGGTGGAGCTTGGCTGCCCAGCTGGGTAAAACCACCACAGTGGGTTAGTCTAGTCACTACTAGACCAGCCCTTTAAAGAAAATAGCTCCTAAACCAACTGCCAAAATAGAATAAAAGAAAGGATAATACTTAGCTACTTGAAAACTGTCTAGCTTAGAGAAAGATTCTTTCTCTGCGACTTTTGAATTACATTACGGGTGACTCATTTCCCAAGGCTGCTTTATAACAAAGATCAAAGGAAGTTATCAGCTAATGAGTAATCTCCACAGCTCCAAGCTGGCATGGGTAACTGTCCAACTGGTGGCCACTTTCATGTTACTTTGTTCTGACTCTTAAAAAGTTGGTACAACTACATTGGCTAAAATATTTCAGCTTTTGGAGGTTGTCTGTCAAGGCAGAGCTGGGTATGCTGTATTAATTCTTCTGTATAGTGTAATGTGGATTAGATAACTTCATTTGACTCATATTACTACATATGTCAAGTATCTGAACAGAATAGTTCAGATGGATGTGACCTTCAAAGATAATCAAGTCCAACTAAGTAGTGCTTCTTACTTAAAAAAAAAATAATAAATGACTAATTAAAATATTTCAGGCTTATATAATTGTCAAAACTGCAGGGGTGTAAGTCGTTTCAGATGTTACATAGTAATAAGCCCTGACTGCTGTTATAAAAATATTGTTCTGAGTTAACACATAGGAAGCATTGACAGGACAGAAGCACGTTTTCCAAGACAAATGTTAAATCAGTGGCCATCTTGAAAATACAAAGGAGAACGTGTAAGTCTGCAGCTGACTTCTGTAGAGTCATTTCTGTGTGTTTACACTGGTAGGGGGTGGTTAACTTGATGCACATTTAGTACCACACTGGATATTTATCTTACGATAGTCATTGTCTCACCTGAACAGATGCTTCTGCATAGCTGGAAAACTTCTCCTAGAGATGTTTCTGGGTGGCTCTTCTGCTATCAGGTCATGTTTGGTCAGGCTTTCTAGATCTGTCATCATACTTGTATGAGAAAGCAATAGAGAAACTACTTTTGTTTCAGATAAACCAAAATAGAGGTAATTTATAGTAAGAGTTTGGGGTGTGTGTTTTTGTCTCCTTGAAACCAGCGTGCCTATGAGTAATGAGGATGGCCAAGCTTTCTCAGGCTTCCTGTCTTGCACTGGAACAGTAGATGTGTAGTGCATTCTGAAAAATAAAATGAAGTATATATATATATTTTAAGTCCACTTAAGTTGCTGCTTAATTTTATTTAAAAAATGAAAAATGCACGTCTCTTGTTGTTTGTTGCATATCTGCTTTTGGATGTGCTTGATACATGATTACTGGCAGAGTTCAGCTATACACTGAACTAGATGAGAACTTGCATTTTGTTCTTAAGTACAGTTTATTTGAAAAATAAATACACTTGATGTGTAACTGCCTTTAAAATCTGTTTCCTTTGGGAAAGAGGATTAAATATTTTCCTTATCTTTCAATAGGATGATGAATCTGTCTGGCTAGCACCAGGAGAAGGGTACACACCTGAACCGATGGAATTTCACCACCTAAATGAGATAGACATTAAGCTTCAAATACTGCTATCTGATGGCGATTTTTCTGCAATTTCGGGCTCTTACTCCAAATCTCCAAGCCAGATTTATCAGGTATATTAGAGAATAGACCTTTCAACAAGAAATTTCATATGTAGGTCACTGTTAGTGATATGTATATCACTGATAGGAATCTTTGGGGTCTCAGCCTTGGTTGTTTGAATTTTGTAGATAGAAGTCTGTTTTTTCCCATGTCCCAGTAATGTTGACCATGGTGTAATGTGAAAAATAACTATGTAAAATACCATTAATCCCTATTTTTGCACTTATTTGCATGCAAATTGCTTACTTTTGTAAAATTTACAGTTCATAGCCAGAATGGAGGCTCTGTAAGACTGTATATCGACAAAGCTATTTTCAGTTACCGATGGATTGAAGGAACATCTCTTTGAGGAGTTAAAATAACTTTTTTTTTTCTTGTTTTTCTTGTTTTTTTCTTTTTTTTCTTTATTTTTCTTTATTTATTTTTAGGCAACATTACATTTATAACAGCATTTTAATACTAGTTTTCTATTGGCTTGTTTCTGGATATCAAATTTTGTTTAAGTAGTTTGCTTCTCTTCAGTTCCAGAGGAGTTGCATTTCGCAGCTGATCATGTACCAACTGAGGTTTAATGTGTGAGACAGCGACTCCCTCTAGTGGTTAATCACAGAAGTTCAGTTACCCAGGTTAACTCAGGTTCGTGGACCTAAGGTTGAAATGATAGTTGGATTTTGTGTTCACTATTACAAGACATCAACATCAGCTTGAAGTTAATGATACTGTCTGTGATAATGAGTACTCTGTTTGGGAACGCTTTGTCCGAGTGATTGTTGCTGCTTCCTTTGCAGGACAAAGCTCGAAAGATTTGAATAGAAATTTGCATTTATGTATATACTAATTGAAAAGAGTAATACATTATCTTGTTGAATGGTATCAGACTTAACAGCCATAAAGAGATGGGTAATTCCATAAATTCATCCATAGTCAAAAGCAATTGCTTCAGCTTTGTTTTCCAGAGTATAAAAGGTTTTTAAGACACTGTGGTATTGGGAAATACAGGATTTGATTTGTCATTTTTTCTTCAGATAAACTACAATGTGCGAGTGATTTTAGTGAAAGTTACCACAGAATGGAACTATTTGTAGGTAACATAATAAATTTAGAGAAAGAGTTAAACATAATAAATATAAGTTGAAGTGCGTAGGAGGTTTTAGCTATTTAAAATTGGATTTAGAGAGGTGTTAATTGTATAAATCCAAAATTAATTTAAAGAAAAAAAGTTAAACTCTCCCACTCTTCAGCTGTCTAATTCCAGAGTTGTCTTGATTTCTGGATGCTTTTCCAGGTGACAGCAAATTTCCCTAGGCACATGCATTGCTGATTCTCTGCTTCTCCAGAGCTGTGGCTCTCTGTGGATGCTATAATTTCATTGTGATCCAGACATTAGGGAAGTCAGTGTTGAATTCTTCATGAAGCCTGATTTTGTAGGTACATTCTGATTTATCTGGCACTGTGACATGACCGGGCTTGTGTATACATGTATTTACATAGAATTTCAGCTGCTAACATTTTTGATGGTAGGTGGAGGAGAAAATAGCTCTGTCAACTTTCAGAAACCTGGCTGCTTACTGTGGAAGCTTTGTGCTGGATCTAGCCTTTAGTTCTGTGTTCTTGGTTGTAGTTATTTGTACCTTGATACAATCACTTCAGTTCATATGTAGAACAGTTACAGCAGGTCACGTTCTGAATTTGCTTACATGAATTCATTCTCAACACCTTTTGTTTTCAAATTTATTTACCAGTTGTTTTTTCAAAAAAATAGTAGCTAACATGCAGCTGTAGCTGAAAAATTATTGACTATTTTGAGTCTAGAGAGCTTCCTGAGAAAGGCCATACTTTTTACATGTTCTAAGCTCATTGCTGCTCATTTTTTTTATTATTATTATTTTATTTTTATTTTTAAGAATAGCCTTGTTATAAACTTGAAGTTCTCATGATTATTTTTAAAGAACTTTTTATTCTTAAAGCATCAGTTCTGGTATCAGAAAATAGGTGGGTCATTCAGTACAAAGAATTCTAATGTTTCTCTGTCTTTCGGATCAAAGGCAAATTAATCCACGATGCATCATACAATCTGTCAGACTGAGCTAAATATAAAAGTAATGTTTAGGGAATCACACTGGTTTAATACAGTATAAGGGGGCTTCCCAAATGAGACTAGGCTTCTGTTGTTTGTACTAGGTTAAGTTCTCAGTACATCTTAAAAAGGAATATTTTTAAAGTCCTGCAAAAATGAAACAAAAATAACTTCCCACAAACTTCATGGAAGACCTAACCAGGTAAAATTGCTATTGTATTCCAAAAAATTATAGATTAAGAAAAAAAAAAGTGTTCTCCAGATCCAGGTTGCTGCAGTCCTGACCTTTCTTTGTGCCAGTTTTAAATCTTGCTTTTTTCCATGTCCATCATCATGTTAACTCTCCCCTTGAGCATGGCATTTTTGTCTGGTCTTGAAGCCATTCACTACTAATCTCAGTGTGATCTAGATGGTTAAATTGTCTGGTTTGTATAAATTATTTTAAAGATGTAGTGATTTCTGTTTAGTTTCTATACTATTTATGTTTCCTCTAGCAGGACCTATATCGGGGTGTCTTCATCTTTGCTTTGGTCTCTTTCTGTACTCTTCAGACTTCATCAGTAGTTGTAGCTAGGACACCTCCTCCATGTAATTTCATCACAACTCTCACGTTGTGCTTAGGTTTGAAATGTCTTTGAGCTATCAAAGCGCACAGCATTTTGCTCAATGAAATCGTCTCCTGTTCTTCAGCTCCCTCTTTAGGCTATGACTGTTGCAACATTACATTTTGGATTTACTCTTTAGATTTAATGTATTTGCAGTTGTTCTATGACATACTTAATGTGCTTCTGGCTGCTTGAAAAATTTAAGTAGTTTGATTGGAGGAGAAAAAATGGATGTTCAAGTTTTCTTGTCTTATACTCTCAGATTTATTTTTGCTGTTGCTGGGAGGTTGGGGGGGTTAGTTGTTGTAGTGAACATATAGGGAGAATAATTTAGCTTACAATTTTTATACTTGTTTTGGAGAAGCTCTGCCTGCTAAATACAGGGCAGCCCCATAGTCAGTGATTTATTTTGCAGGGTGAATTGACAAATTTTTGTAGAAGGGCAAATGATACAGATAGGGTAAGGTGAGCTGACATTCTCAATGTGGCAGAGCAAGTTATTGTATTGTTCTGCATGCTCTCTCATTCTTCTTATATGCTTGGTCTTTGTGGCTGATTTCAAAACTAAAACAAAATAGAAGAAAACTTAAAATAGAAGAATTCTAAGAAGTGAATACATTGCTACATCTGCATATACATATATGCAAACATACTTTTACCACTGCTTTTCACACACAATCTTCACTGGGCATATGAAACTGCCAAACAATAAAAGTTATTTCAAGTTTTTCCAATGTTATAATAAGCTTATCAAAGAAACAGTCAGGCACTAAAGATGAGGAGATAAATGTTTTCTTCAAGATCTGATCCCTGTGTACTTTCCTAGGAATACTTTAGACTTTCCAGTTGCTTCCATGATGACAGCAGTACCGTGTAAGTGGAAAAGCCTGAAATCTTGAAAGAGTTGGGGAGCACTGGGATAGTTCAGTGAGAACTGATACACAGAGTGATTAAAGGTTAGAGATGCACTCCTAGTTCTGGCATTGCCTAATACTTGATTAAGGCTTTGATTTTCATCCTTAATTATCCATGTTTCTTGGTAGTGCTGGAGGCAAGGGGAGTTGATGAACAAAGTGGGAAGCATACACTTTTGTTGTTCTGCCATCTGGAAACCTATGTAAGTGCCTGAAGCAGGTTCAGAAACTCTACTTGAAAGCAATACTTGAGATAACAGTAACTGATGGCATGGAGGTTGGTCTAACTGCGGGAAAAATGAGATGCTATACCAGTGAATGGCATGTATATGTGCTGACAAGAGGAAGGGCAAGACATGGATGCTGGATCTGTGCAGCCCCTAGAAAGCAAGGTTCTGTTGTGATCACAGTTCTTTCATCTTGTTTTCCTCAGGTGTCCCGACTCTGGTTTCACGTTCACTTTCCTTTGCTTTCTCAATTTTACTCCGCATTGGTTCCTTTTATCAGTGAATCTTAAGCTTTTTGGTCCAGATAGTTTTATTTTTCAGATAGTAGTTTTCAGAACTCTCCCTAACATCCAAACAAATTTAACTCCCATGTTTTTTCCTTGTTTGGTTCTTTAACGTTTCTAATGCAGTAGAAACTCATTTTCTCTCTCTCTCTCTCTCTTTTTTTGATTGTTGTTGTTGTTTTTAATTCAGACTAGCTTGTCTGGTTTAGCTGATACTTTATATTTTTCTCCCCTGTTCTTCTACTCCTTTTCTAGTCCTGTTGCAACCTGCTCTAGGTACATGTATGTCCCAGGTATGGTGCTAGTATCTTCTAGAATGAGTTGGTTAACGAAACAGTTTTGATTAAATTTGTGAATGGCATCAGACTGGCAGATGTTGCAAAGTATTTACGATGGGTTATAGAAATGTTTTTAGAAAAGTAATAGCTTCAGAAAGGTTAGGTGCTACTTACTGCATGTAAGAAAGAAAACAAAACAAATAAACAATCTGAAATGGAGGTAACTGACTGACCAGTCCTACACAAAAACGGAGAAAGGATCTTAAGGAATTGAGTGATGCCTTTGCTGAAAGATGATATCGCTTTGTGATAAGCGAACATGAATGCCATAACAAGACAAAGGCAGTAAGAGTTCTGGTTTTCTGCCCCCCTTTTTAGGGCTAATTTCAAGTGTTTCATGACAAGTTTTTCAATTGTTGCTTCAGTTGATCACAGCAACTAAGTGAGGAAATAAGGTAGATATCAGTGCTGATTGTTACAGGACAGAAGTCTGATTTGGAAAGTGGATGCCTTTTCTTTTGAAGAAGAGGCATCACTCAGTGGCACCACTCCTCTAAAAGGCAATGCTGAAATTCTTTCTGACTTCTATGATATGTGGATTTCATCTGCTGTGGTTAAGTAGAGTATAATGCATTAGTGATGGGGAACATTGGAAAAATTGTTGGTGTATAAACATCTGCTTGGGTTTTGTTTAGAATTTTAGAAGTAATTAAAATGAAATTTACTTAGAGTTGCATATCTTAAAGATGTACATTCTTGTCTTTTGAAGAATTTCATTAGATATAACTTTCAAAGAGCAAACGCTTAATCACCACTGGCTCAATAGGAGAGAAGCTTCCTGCCACTTACAAATACATTGGCAGGATATAGGAACTATGCTCCAGCCCAGAAATCTTTAACAACTGGATTTAATTATTGTACAGTACCATAGCTGAGCTGCTAAAGAGAAGCATACAGATTTGTTTTTTGTGCAATCAGTCCAGCTGGATTCAGAATGCTTTTCCATGACTAATGTTCTATTTTACATGGAAATGTTTCTCATCAGAACTTAATTTCTCTCTGAAACATTTCTTTGTTTTGGTGCCAACTTAATTAAATATTTTTAAAATGCTTTTGTCTTACTCAATATTTTTGGGGAAGAACAAATTAAATTGAATATAATCCTGGAAGAAACAGGAAAACGGTAGGATGAAGAATGTAAAGTGCTAAGACTGAGTACAGTTACAGATGAGTACAGTTACCAATTTGAACAGCTGCAAAACTACCTGAAAATAAAGAGCAGTGGAGACTCTGATTAAGGAAGCAATAATATCTGTCTGCTTGATTATCTTATTAAGATAATTACTTTAATATTATTTATTACCTTAATGAATTCTTTCATACCCGTTTGGCTTCTTTTTATCATAAAAATAATTCAAATTTTCAATTATAGCACAAAACAGTTAACAGTTAACAGTTGAAAACTAAATGATTACTCAAAGGGATGGAAGATTCTGAAGACATGCTGATGTTTTCATTAATGAACTGTTATAGCCTATACTCTCTGCCTCTGCTTCATTAAAACGGATAATTTTGACAGATATCTCTACTTCAAGGCAAAGTTAGAAGCAGGTAAATAAACTGATCAGTCTATTTTATGGCTCAAGAAGATTGTAGGGCACCACTATCTTTCAGGAGGTGGCTTTTTGTTTTGGATTTGTTTTTAATTTTTAAAGTCTTGGAGCAAAGAAAATGCAAAACAATTTTAGCCACTTCAAATACTGGGTATCTCCACTTGTATTATGGTCATTACAGCTTTGACTGTCACTAAGTACTTACACCCTCCCTTGTGAGTAATAATTTTATTTTTTACCTCTTTTTTTTTTTTTTTAAATCATTTTTAATCACTAATGATGAAAAACATAAAATGTTTCAAAACAATTGAAACATGGACAACAAAATATTTTCTGTGATATAATACTTCCCTTCATGCAGATGTCTTGAGAAATATGTTATAAAATGAGTATGTGGAGAAAATTTGTCTTAACTTTGCTCATACAGTGTGAATTCTGATCAGTTACTGTTCAGGGATGAGATAAATGAGACTGTGAGAACCACTTCTGTGAAAGCAGAAGTTTAATCTCCGTAGTGGTCAGATATCAGCTGATGCGCTGAGACTACAGCTGGCAGGTATTCCCAAGAATACAAGGAAAGGAGTAGTTTATTAATGTTGAGTTTTATTCAACTATTTTCTGTATTTTCTTTTGTTCATTTGTTTTTTAAAATTCTGAACTCTAGAAAAAAAACACTAGGAAAATAGTGCAAGGCTTTCCAGCTTCATGTTTTCCACTACTTATTAGCATGACGGTTTATAGGCTAGGATTTGAAATTCATGTGACTTTTCTTCTCAGAGATTTATAGAAATTAACAGAAATCTAGGTTTGCAATCTTGGGGCTAAATAGAATTATATCAGTCATGGATGTTTGTGTAGGTAAAATGTTGAAACAAATACTTTTTCCTCCCATTTTCTAGTAAATGTTCATAGCTTAAGTTTTTTATCTACCACTCTCTGATAAGAATTGTCTAGATATCATTGCAGAGATCAATACTAAAGAAAAATTTGTGGAGAGTGAAGTCATCAGGCTCAGTTAGGAATTTCTTTTGATAGAACAGTGTTGACTTACTTGAGAAACAAATAGGTTTAAAATCATATCCAGTGGGATAAAAGGAAAAATACATCACAATACACAGTTTTCCTAAAGGCTGAAGAGCTTGCTCACAAGTACATGCAGAAGCTGAGCTGTTTCTCTCTAAAATTTGACATGGACTAGGACAGAGATCTGCATAAGGTTGGCTTCAGGAAATTGTGTGGGGAAGATGATAATTTGAAGGTACTACTTTTCTGATTTTGACTCCACTCACTGTTACCTTTTAAGATCAAGCTGGTACTGTAGCAATGTTTTCAGAGATGCTGTTTGCAGTCTGAGCTCTCTTCTTGATTGAAGGCTGAGTTCATATAAAAATGTCAACCAGGAGTCCTTGCATATGACGTGTGCAATGAAAAAAAGAATTAAATCACTAAAATATTTAGTGATTTCTCAGTACCACTAATTGCATATTCTTAATTGTGTTCATAACATTGTTTTTTAAACCAAATGATAACTGCAACTCTAATCCATATGGAGCACTAACTGCTTGGATGACAATGCCTCTATATATGCACAGATCAAAAGATTGGATTTAGGAATGTAATTGCAGAAATAACTATATTTTTTTTACAACAAAAAAGTGAAATATGATACTGCTCTGTGATACTGCTCATCCCCTTTTCTTCCCCAGGATTCCATGGAAGATTTAACTTGAATTAAAATCCCTGGGAACACAAAACCATGCAAATCATCTTATTAGAGGGAGAGTCAGTTATACTTTGGACTCATTTGCCAAATCTGTATTTATATCACAGATATAAAGCTCCTATCCTTGTTTCATGTATTAATAAACACAAGTTTAAATAAGTCATTTTTTGTGTGTGTGTGTGTTCTATGTAGATGTAACTCGTGCAGTTTTATTGCTATTGGGCATTATATTTAACTAATAAACTACCTTTGTATCTAGAAGCCAAGTTTTAGATGCTCAATATTAACAATTTTGGCTTTAGGCGGTCTTCACATTAAATTTGAGTCCAGTTTTGAGACATTCCAGTCATTAACAGATGCTGCTGCTTATACCTTTGTCAGTTACAGGAAAAAATTGCTGGGACTGTGGCACAGCCAACTACTGCTGATACATATTCAAAGATCTGTACTGTGTTTAAAATAAGCTTATTTTCAGGCATATAATGGTTTGGATTTCAGAGCTCATAGATTTATCTGATGTTCAGAAAAAATGTTTTGTAATGCTTACAGTTTTTTCAACCTTGTAGTTGCGAAATTGTAAAGATTATTCTCCTTTCCGGTTAAGACAAGGTAACTGAAATTGTTCTGCTTGCATGTGTTTATTAAGATAACTTGAGCTGCTTCTGAAAATAAGAATGAAAAGAGCATGTTTTTCTTAAGTGCTTGTTCATGTTCCTTTGGGTTGAATTGACCAACAGGTTTTTGTTTTTTTTTCCTCTCCCTTATTGGTTTACTTGGATTCTTATATAGGATCCTTGGTTTGCAACAGAAAGTCCTGATTTTTTCAAAATAAAACATAGCTTTGCTGTTTTGCCAATATTTGCTATTCTTAATGATCTATATGTCTCAATGACCTTAATGTCATTCGTAATTATCTAAATTACTTCCCGTTCTTGCATGTAATGAGACTATATTGAAGCTTGAAAATATTCAGCACTGATATAAATTTCAGAATCTAATCCAAAGCTACTGCAGAGTGTGAGAACTGTTTAATAACGGTTGCACAGCTAACTCACACTTGAACTGTGAGAGAGGGTTTCTTCTTATTTACCGTGATGTCTAGTAAACAAAGCCTACACTTCAGTTCTGATTCTTCTGCTCTCTTCTGAGAGTTGTCAGTGATGTCCTGATTCTGTTCCCTGTATCAGTGATAGGAGCAAGTTTTTCAAACCCTTGCTCACTAGTTATTCTAAAGATTTACATGTTTTCCTGATGGAAACATGTCAATGGAACGCTCTTCTGGCTGTGAAGCAATACAAAGTCATGCGTTTAATTTCTGCCTAATCTTTCTTTCATCAGGAGTCTCTGGTTTATGCAAACAGAACCCTAGAAGCAGTTCCAGGTGAGAAAGTTCTACGAGACAATAAGGAACATCGTGATCAACAAAACCGTCTGAAAGAGATAGATCATCAACTGAAATCTCTACAGGGAAATTTTGTAAGTCTCCTATTTTTCATTTGTTTTTCCTCAATTTGAAAACTTCAGAGTTTATAATTTCATTTGTCTTTACAACAAAATCCAGTTCTGCAACCTTTTGTTATTCCTGAAGGAGTTCCTTAAGAAATATACATGCAAAACTCTCAAATAAGCTTTCTTAATCCGGGAGGTATTTTTCAGTTGCAATGCATCTTTTTGATTAACATTGTGTCTTTCAAAGTGAAAAAAATTGCTCTTCTCTCTTCCCTAGAGGGGGATACCATTTATAAACAATCATGTGTAAATACATCTGTAAGGCATTTTTTATGGTTCATATAAATCAGCGTTCTTTGGATGACCAGGTCTAGTGGGAATGCTGTGTGTACTAAGTTATTGTGTGGTTTAGTTCTGCTGAATTCATTTAGCGTATTTCTGTACTTTTCATTTGATGCACGAATGTCATAGAGGCGAGCGCAATTAAAAAATTAACATGTAAGTTAGATGGTAGTAAAAAATCATTACATAATTAGAAAAAGTACATCACATTGCGTTCTTATTGCTACTTTTACTCAAAAGTGGGTAGAGAGAAGGCAACTTAAAATCTAAGAGGATCCCATTATTATCCTAGTAGGCAGAAATTGTTTATTCCTAAGTCATAGAGTCAGTACTAACAAGTCTGAACTTGCAGAACTATGTACCTCTCTCAAGTAGAAGATTACTATTCTTTTCTTTTTCAGTGAGTATAATTTATTACATTACTCTCAAGTTACAATAAGGAAATATAACTTAAAAAAATGGTGGCAGGGGAACCTCAAGGACTTCAAGAATTCTTTTAAATCCTTTTTGACATATACATTGTAAATGTACTGTTTAATCTGTGCTGTTTAATCCTAAAGAGCTATAAAACAATCTATACAGAGGAGGATTAGGGAGAAAATAAACAAAACATTCTAAAGCAGATGAATTAAAAAGAAGAGTCCTAAGATGGTACAGTTGTCATCTGGTCTGAAAGCTGATGTTGGCATTTGTTTATATGTTGAATCCCGCATAGATCTTTTGAAGAACATGGAAAGAAAATCTCTAAATCTCTTTTCTTTTTTTTAAATAACTTTGAACAGAACTTTGAAGGCTTGTCTTACTCACATAAGATCCAATGAAACTGCTGAGGGCTCAAAAGTACATTAGTGCATTAGTGAGCAATTAGTGACTAGCAGTCAAAAACTGGGTATATATGCATATTTTTAAGATTTTAACATGTTTAGTATTATGTTTCTGCTTTGAGATTGGAAGGCTTTTGTTTTTCCATAGAAAGTGCTATGTGGGGAAGACAAACTAGTTCAGCAGTGTGTGAGAAACTGACTTGAGGCGAAAACTTTCATGGGTAATATGATAAAGCAAATTTTTACTACAAACTCTTTTGCTACATTAGCAAGAGGTATCATTATGGTTAATTGAGATGAAAGAGCTGTGCAAATGAGGCAGGTGGTGACTGGGGACAGTGAGCATGGGTGAACATTTGAAGTCCTATCTGAATACGAGAACACACCTCTTTCTGTGTGGGTGACTGGGCACTGGAACAGGTTGCCCAGAAAGGCTGTCGATTCTCCTTTTCTGGAGATACTCAAAACCCACTTGGATGCCATCCTGTGCAATGTGCTCTAGGTGGCTCTGCTTGACAGGGGGCTGGATTAAATGATCTCCAGATCTAGAATGGCCAACCTTGGCCATTCTGTGATTTATCAAGAGTAAGTCATACCTGATGAACCTGATTGCTTTCTATGATGAAATGACTAGATCTACTTGATAAACTGAGGGCAGGACTGCCACTCAGCAGGATTTAGACTGGAAGAGAGGGTTTACAGGAACTTTAAGACATTCATCGAGGACAAACGCAGAGTTCTACACTGCAGAGGAACCTTTCCCTCTAACAATCTGAGCTGGGGTCTGACTGGCTAGAGAGCAGCGCTGTTGAAAAGGACCTGGTGTTGTGGACGTTAGGACAGCATGAGCCAGCAGAGTTCACTGCAGGGATGAAGGGTAACAGCCTACGTGGCTATGGCAACATGAGCATAGTCAGAAGATTAAGGGAAATAATTACTTCCCTTTACTTAGTACTCATGAGACTCTGCCTAGAGTATCACATCCAGGACAGAGCTATAGTATCTTTACTAATATATGTTGTGGGAGAATGAGATATTGTTCATAAATTGAAATGGGAAGTTTCCAATTGGATTTAAAGGGAAAAAAATAGCTCCGAGTTCATTAAGAATAGGAAGCAGGTTGCATGAAGAGACTGTGAAATCTCCATCCTGAGAAATTTTGTAGACCTGCCAAGATAAAGTCATAAACCATTACGTCTGATCTCATTGCTGACCTTACTTGGAGCAAGAGGTTGGACTGGAGATCTGACAGCTGCCAACCTATTGATCTTTCTGCTCCTACAAGGGAAAGGATCAAGAATGTCTGCACATTTCTCAGGTAGTAATCTTTATCAGTGGATTGAAAGAAAATCAGTAAGTTTTTAATGACTGCATATTGTATAAAACAATTTCTTGCATGTAGAACAAAAATCCCTGTAGTCCATCTGTGACTTCTGGAGGTCCTTATTTCAGTAGTGGGCTTACCTTCTGCAGATCAGCTAGGATAAATACTATTCCCTACTAGTCTTTGCATTGAAGAAAAAACAGCGGTCAATTAGCATGCATTCCTGGCATCAGTTCATTTTGTGTATTTACAGAGTATGGGAACAAGACTTAGGACAAGGAGGCAGTCTTGGTTTACAGATGGTTTGCTCACGTGTGTGAAATCTACAGTAAGTCAGCATATCTCTTATCTGCTCAAAGCACCAAAACTTCCTTTTAATACGCTGCTATGTCTGCTATGCAAGTGTTAGTTAAAACGTGGGAGGCAAATAACTAGAGGAATTCTGTGGAACTTCAGTATATTGAATAGGTTAATGGGTAAACAGATAAAATAAGTCTGTATACTATCATCATTTCCTGTTCATTGACCTTTATATCACCTTTTGTCACTACTGACCTTGTTAATGAGACAAACACAATCTGAGGAAGTGCGTCTGGGAACTCTGTGCTGGTCTACCACATGCCTGGGAAATGCGGTGGGCTGCTGACTTATTCAAGTATTTTGAATATCAATGTTCCGAGACTTGATAACAGTATTTTTTGGTATCAGCCTACAGGCAAACATTTGTAACATACTGGACATTTATCCTTGGACAGAGCGTGTGGGCATTTAGAAGTCTAAATTGAAAGTCTGTAATATTTATTTACAGTGTTAAAAAATACAAAGTTCGTCTGTACCGATGTAACTCATGGCCAGGCTAGCTTTGCTGCACGCTATGCAGCACCTAGTATGGCTTAAGGGGACCTAATGTGTATTGCTATCAGCTCTGGCTATGTAGGATAGCTGTGAGATATGAAAAATATAGCATAGCATATGGATATGAAAAATTTGTTTATAAGGTCTTCTGTGAGATATTGTGCTTGCCAGAGTAGATAAAGAAGTATTCAACTGTAAATGAAAGTAGATTTTTCCTTCTAGCAGTCAAATACATAGAAAATCTACACTTTCAGAGGGTGAATGAAGCACAGCTTCCAGAAAATACTTGTTTTTTAGTTTCATGTCCATTAGCAGCAAAAGTGGTCTCTGCCTAGAAACTGTGACAGAAATCTAATCTGAATGTTTGGGGTGAGGAGGGTGTATGTAGATGTTATGTTTCCTGAAAAAAAGGTCAGTATTTTAGGAAATACTGTTTGAGGTTCAATAGGTGGCACTCTTCACTGTATGTCAGTGGAGGAATGCCTGGGCATGGTTCTAGGGCATGTTATACTGGTGAAAACATTTCTGTGGTGTAAAATACAGGTTGTAAGAGATTTTGTCTCACTTTTGGCATGATACCAGGTATGCAGCTTCTAACATTGCTATTTTTCTAGCTTAGCCAATTCAATTGTGTTAAAATTCATGTTGTATTTAAAGATCTTCTTTACTCTTTCCTAAACTACTGTAATTCTCTGTGTAAAACTAGAAATAAATTCTCTGCTCGGAGTGGAGGAGGTGATTTGTCAGAAGTTAGGAATGTTATTTATGAATCCATGCTTGTATTGGACTTTGTACTTTTAAAATAGAATATTTTACAAATGTCTGAGAGAGAGCTTTTAACAATTTATTAAAAAAAAATCCATCAGATAATAATTGTTATTATTTTTGTTTCCTATGTGGAAATAATGGATAGATTAACTAGCTGAATTTAGCTGTATGTATTAGGTAGTAACTTGCAGTAGGTATAAAGTTAACTTCACAAAGTTTTGGTTTTGCTGGGGGAGAGAATGCTGTGTTTCTTTCACTACCACAATATGAAGAAATTGTTCAAATGGATTTGTACAACTGTAGTTGTACTCTGACCCTCTCTTCATGAGGGAAGAATACATTTGTAATATTTCTGAAGGAGGCTATTTAGTAGGCACTGGCTTCTGAAATTTATGGATGCCTCCACAACACCTTACCTCATGTATGCTGTTAGACTTCATGGTTTCAGCTGAGTGTGGGACCAAGACCACAAAACAAGGCTGGAAAATAAGACATTAATATACTTTATGATCAATACCAAAAAAAAACAAAACAAAGCAAAACAAACAAACAAAAGAAAAACCAACAGAAAATCTGCTGAACTGTTAGACTCCTAAGTAAAGGAACTAGGGGTTTTGCAATCTGAGGTCCTCCTTTACTTTGAAAAAATTGTCTCCAGTGAATTAATATACCAAAGAATGTATTGTATGCATTCATGTTGAAATGTATTGTGAAATTTCAATCCAACTGAAATGTATCTGTACCGTGGTTTCTGGGCCCTTGTTGAATTTCTTTTAGGTTTTAGTTTGACCTTAGTTCACTTGTTCTTCATTTGAAACCATGGCTGACTCTTTGCACATTCTTTCATCTTTCAGTTTCCTGGAAACCATTGAGCTTATCTTTGTTTGGTGAATTGCATTGTTAACTGCTGCTTCAAAAAAAAAATGTTCAGCTGCCAAATGCGTGTTGCTGAGCATTAACGAAAAGAATTTTATATGGAAAGAATAATAAATGTAGTTATTTTTCAATTGAGGCTTCCACTAGTTGGCCATTTGTGATCTAGTAGCATGTTTGGTGATGTGCTGTATTTCTTCGTAGAAGATAGTAGGTTTAAATATATGTCCAAGCAATCTGTTAAGTAACACAATTTCACCTTTGCTGGGTTATAGGGATGTTTTAATTCAAATGTCTCACCCTGGAGGCTCATTCCTTCCTGCCAAAAACTAGCCACAGATGCTTGTTTTAGTGTTTTTGTTAAATATATAAATTCAAATATATTTAAAATATATATTACAATGGCACATAATTGTGTACACACACGTTACCTCTTAGCATGACTGAGATGGTTGTACCTACTTAAAAAAAAAAGTCTACTTACTTTCAGTAAGTTCTTTTAAACCATAAGTTAAATTTAGTTTGCTTAATTTTAAATTTAGTATCATCAGATGTCCATACATCTATAGCAATTAATTTTTCCCAAATTTAGTCAATATGGTGGCAAAGCACAATGTATGATTGTTAATTATTCAGGTGTTTTTTCATAGAATATGAAAATTACACATACTCTGTCTTCTGAATAGCTGAACTTTGCAGGAAGTTAAGCAATTGGTATAGGTGGTGCAGAATGAAAACAGAAAATGAGTATCGATGTTGTCAAGAAAAATTATCTTCAGGAGCTCAGCCAGAAGACATGATACTTTTCTTTGTGATGCAGGATAATGCATATCTGTGAGGAAGGAAATCACGGGATAAAATTAATTATTGTTTATTGCTGGAGAAAATCTCTCAAACTGTTTTATGGCTGAACCTGCATAAGGATAACAACAATTATGGATATAATTTTGTGCCGGCTTTTCCCCTGAAACTGACTGAATTCAATGCACCTAACCCTGTGTCTGTACTAGACAAATTCCAGATGAGATGAATAATTTGTTCCTGACTTCTGTCATTTAAAGGGAAGAAGAGGGAAAGATAAAGTCCTTCCATTAATTTGGAGAACAATTTGTTAACTGTACAATCCTGTAATACAGTTTTCTATCACAGCGTTTTTGCAAAAATTCATTGCTAAAACTTTTGAACACAGGTCCATAGTCTATGGTATTACAATTGTTGTTTTTTGCTTGCTTTCTTTTGACTACTTTATGCATTGTTAGCCTTTGTAGGCTCTTCCTGTGTACTGTGCAGTTACATACATGTATAAATAGCAAACATATTTCTTTTAGTTCACATAATACCATGTAATGAGCTAGTTTCTCTATAAGCTTATGTTTCTCCATACAGGTAGATCTTTTTTTACTAAGGCATTCTCATAATACATACTTCATTTCACCAAATAAAGGAAAAAAAGACCACTTTTCTAAAGGCTGAGGTGTACCACTGTTTTTTTGTTATTCCTTCAGAAAGTAACAAGTGCTAAAGTTGCCTGCTAAGTTATCACTAAGCTTCAAAAATATCTTGTTTATTCAAGTTTTTAAATAATTAATTGTCACCATAATTCTACAAAATTGTTTCGGAATGAAAACTGATAGTGTTTTCATCTAGAAGAAAATATTACTGTGAAATCTAAAGGTTCTTCATTTAACAGCTACTATACACACAGAGGGCAAAGTTAAATAACATTAATAAACGGTAATTTTTTCACTCATATGATTAAAATAAATTTCCAGTCTCTTGATTGTTCTTCACAGTATTATTGACAAGAATGAAGCAGATGTTAGAAGTATTTATAACAACAATTTGAAAACAATATATTGCAATGCAACTTAATATAATTCAATATATGTTGTATATATAATAAATCTTTAATACCAAATTATATAAAATACTAATCAGTTAAAATCTTAATGATGGTTCTATTTTGTATGGACAATATATTAATATAATACTTACCTAGATGAAGGAGCCAGTTACATTAAAAACATCCATACAAAAGTAAGTAACATTGTGAACTTGCATCAAAGCTTCTCAGAAATATTAGAGAAATCATTGATCAGAAAAAGCATTGCTTGAATATGATAGCTGCAAGGAGACCTTATTTAAATATAATTTTATTTTCTAGATAAGAATGTTTAAATTCTCTATTGATGTAATGTGATTCTTCTTATCTCAAAATGTAGTTTTCAACTATTAAGGAAGAGTCTGCTACTTGTTTCTACCAGAATGTGTAGAAGAAAACTGAGAAGCAGCTCGCGTCCCATTCTTCTCAGCCGCTTTTGAACAAAGGAAGTCTTTTGTCTGTTTTATCCTTCAGCCGCTATATTTGTTCCCATTCTCTTTCCCAATGTCTTCCATATAATCTCATTTTATTCTCTAGAGCTGACCTTTCTTTCTTTGCTTTTTCTCCTATGTATTATGGTGTTTGCCATCTTAAAATAGCAAACAAACCATCTTTGATTACTCACCCCTCTCTAAATTCATTGTAGTGCTATTTATAGCCATTGTCCGAAGCCTCCTCCAGTTTCATATCCCTGACATAATTTAAATTTAACTGTAGCTATGCTACTTTCCTAGTTATCTTCATTTTTCATATTCCATTTTTATAAATGGAATTTTACACCATCAAATGGGTTGTTACTGGAAACGTGTTTTGTCGTAGGTGATGACAGAATTTGCAGAAACTAATTTGCTTCTATGCTATTATATTCTTCTGTGCTGTCATAAATACCCTCTGTTCTCACTGACCTTGACAATTATGAAGTAACAGTGTTCCTGTATTTGCTTATTAATTATTCATTAATTATTAATGATTAATAATCTATCTAGGAAGTACATAGCATACGATTTGCATCACTGAAATGTGGTTGTGCTACTGAGGCAAGAAGGTGTTTGCCTGTTGTTACACTCCTCTGTTGGCAAATTTAGGAGTTCTTCATTCTTTGCTGCCATGTAGCACCGTTCTTTAATCTCTGTCAGAAAGAAACCTTGTTTCTGTTGTCCTTCTTGCACCCTGTGCACTAAGGAGGAATAGTCAAGGAAAAGCCTCTGTTTCTGTGCAAGTACTGTAGGGAAAGGCTATATTTGTCCTTTTGCCCTAATATTTTACAATCAGAATGAGAGAAGTGTAACAGGGCTGCTGTGGAGAAAACCTTCTGCAACATGTATGTAGGTGCAGGGTATCCTTTATGGATCAAGGTCTTGATCATTTATGAAGTAGTATATAGCTCCAACCTTCTGTCTTAGGGCTGATGGTTATGTGAGTCAGAGTCTACAATAAATGTCAACATAAAAGAAATCCCGTGGCTATAAATGTTTATGCATGTGTGCCTGGATGTCTGCATGTACAAAGTGTGTAGCAGAACTTGTAATCTTGTCTTGAGTCACTTCAACTTGTTAGGACAAGACGGATGTGTAATCAAACAGAAGTTGTAAATGTGGAGGATGTAAAGCACATAGCAGATGCTCAGAGTGCTGATACTCTTGTAAACTACGTCAAACTATTTGACAAACATATGGGGTTACTAAGCCAAAAGCCTCTCAACTATGCTACCAAGATGTTACTTTTATTATAAATATATGTAATTTTGGTGTTGACATCTCATGTATTTCAGTTGAAGGTGTATAATCATTTATGTATTTTCATCTGTATTTTCAGAATGATTCTCATAAATACACTTATTTCGTTAAACGTATAATAAAATTGATACTACAATTAATATATTAACACAAATTGATGACATACTGTGATACATCTGTTAATCAGTTTTTACAAAAAAGCTCACTTGAAAACCATAAGTATTTCTTTTTTTGTTGTTGTTGCCTTTTTTTTTTGGCTTCTAGAAATAGTTTCATGAGGTGACAACAGCAGTATTTCTGACAAGAATATAATACTTTAATTTTCAGAAACATTGTAATCCTGTTTACAGAGTCCAAGAAAGTTGAAAGTCCAAAAAGCTTTGGAAGTTCAGCCTCATTGATCTAAGTAGTCTAATTACATAACATATTTTTTGTTATGTTGCACAGTGCGTACCAGTATCAAAAAATACTTAGGCTGTTCCCTCTCCAGAAAATCTTCACCTAAAATATTTCCTCTCATTAGGCATCTGAAAAGCTAAAAGTATATACATTTTTTAAATGGAAAAATCAAATAAATACCTAATCTTTTGTTACATATGGTTGCCAGTTTGGCAGAGTTGGACATCTCATGCATGAATGTGTTTTCTGATCCCCAGTTTGTGTATTTCTACGCATCGCTGGGCAGTGTTTGCTAGAAATGTTCAAAGCATGCCAACACATCCAAGCAGACATAAGTAGAAACCATATTACCAATCACAGTCACAATTATGCCTCTTTTCTTTCAGAAACAACCTAGAAAGTTAGCATCTGTCTTAGAGTTCTTTTCTTTCTTCAACCCCAACAATTATCATCTCAGTAGCTTTAACTTCATTCTCCTTCACACAGAAGAGTGACCCACCCCCTACATCATGAAGTTTGAAGTGAGAAAGGACATTGTTGGAGGAAATTAAGATAATCATTAAGGAACACAAATTCAGGGCCAAACAGCATAAGTTAGAAGGACACTATCTCTCTAGCCTAGAAGTGGGCAGGAAGCTCTTCTGGAAGAAAGGAAGCTAACATTATGAACGCTGCCTCCTATATACTTTGAGATTCTTTCATGGAAAATGTATAAACCGAGTAGTGTGATGGGACTAGGAACAACCTTTTTGCATAAAGATGAATTTTGTTTTCCATAGTACTTAGTTTCAGGGCTGTGGTGAAGAGTTTTTATTCAGGCTTGCTTATAACCTTATCATTGAGGTCTCTGCTCATGAAGAGGGATAGTAGACAGACTTTCTGGACGTGTACTTCAGTAGACTTCAGTAACTATGAAAGGCAAGTTTAATTGTCATTACACAAATTGATTGCGAAATAACACAATCAGTTCTTTTCCCCAAACACAAAATTCAGTCAAGATTAAACACACCTCCATACCAAGAATCTCCCTTTTATGCCCTTTGTGACCACCTGTTTGTTAGAACATCTCTGCATTCTTCATGTGGTTGTGTTATTTTTCTGACACGTGGGAAGTTCCCCATCCCTTTCTGGTGGGATCTAGTCATTGTTGCATGTGCAACATACATGTGGGCAGACAGTCTTTTCTGCATGCACTGCTGATAGTTTTCGGTTAGATGTGAAAGGCTACAGACGTTTCTCTGAGTTAATTTATCTTCTCTAATGCCCTACTGCGAAGTAGGATAATATAATGTGGTAGAGATATACATGTGTATTGAATATTAAAGAATATATATATTTTGATAAAATAATATTTAACTTTCAATATTCTGAAAGGTTTCACTTTATGAGGTGTTCCTGGAAAAAAGATTAAAATTGGGTACATGCTTATCCAAACATGAAAATATGATTCTAGCAGACTTTTTTGTTGTTGTTGTTGGTTTTATTCATATCTGCTTTTCTCTCTGTAAATCAAAGCTTTCCTGCAAAGAAATCTGAAGGGAAAGTACTGTATCTCAGCAAGGAGCCCTTATTCTATGGGAAATGAACATATCATGCCTGTCATCTGCTATAGGTTTAAGTGTAACAGAAACTCATTAAGAAAGTGCAGGAAGTTCCTTGTTAGTGAGGACCAGTCCACAGGACTTCATCCTTTTTGTTGAAGCTATATGTATTACTAAATTTCATAAAATCTTCTTATGGAAGAAGTTATTATTTTTTTCCAGTTAGCAGCCAGTGTTCTTTCAATCAAAAACAAACAAACAAACAAAAAACCCTGAAGATTCTTACATTAGGATAAGATGGCTTGTTTATAAATATAGCACTTTTTGGAAATTATCATGTGTTTAACAGTTCTGTCTACCTGTGTGATTGGGAAAGTAATTCGAGTTGTTTATTGCTAGAATTGTCACTGTCGTGTATCAGTACTAATCTTGTACTAATTTGTCACTCAAGTTAATTGGGGAAATCAAATCTAATTTGAATTCTGACAAGTGTTTTTATTACTATTATTTTGATGGATGAAGCTAGAAAGCAGTACTGAGGAAAGTAACTACAGAGCAACAGCAAGAACAGCAGAGAATTTTTAGAGTAATACAGCAACAAAAGAACAACTACTTCCTTGGTTTTGTTTATAAAGGTAGGCACTGTGGACTTGTAAGAGTATTTTGAAGTACAGTGCCATGATGGTTTCTGGGTACTTTCTCTGGAAGGTATGTCTTTAATTAATTCAAACATATAATAATAATTAACTTGAAATAAGTGCATTCAAGGAAGGGCAAAATTCCTGTATAGAACATGTGGAAAGTATGGCCTGATTTTTAGAGAAAGATGAGATTTAAGATTTATGGATGTATTCATCAAACTCTTCATGAATGATACATATGAAGTGTAACCTATAAATAGATTAGGAGTATAGATGTGAAGTGTGGAGAGAAATAACTAGTGTATAGTGAATTCATGCAAATATAACATGCAAACTTAGTAACAAGCTAGCATCTTCCCAGTTGAAAATGGTAAGGAAACTGAATTCTCAGTGGTTGCATTTACTTTATGAATAACTTTGATAGCAGGTATGTTTGGTCTCACTACCACATGACTTTCTGTCACTGTCCAGTTTCTGAAATCGAAAGTGTTGGTTGTTTTTGAATACATATACCTACCAAATAATTTTTGCTTGGAGGAGGATTCATTTATTCTACGTGAATGTATCTTTTGGTGTAAGTTCCAATATATAAATGGCCCACATAAAATATATACAAAATATGTGTGTCTACATGTACACACAAAAATATATACAAATATCTGTATGCAGCATATATTTATGCAATATATATATAAAGAACACAAAAGTTTTATCATATATGTTTTATATAGAGAGATCAGCAGGAAAATGAGCTAATATGAAAATGTAGACTCCCAACATTAATTGTACTTTTATATTCTCATAAAAAATAAGAGAACACGTATTAGTGACAAATGATTGAATTTGTTTTATTATTACATGGTGTAGGACTTGTGATTTTAATTTTTTTTTTAAAGGAAGTGTTGTTTGATAAAAGGATGTTCTTGGTATGAAATGTCACATCTGTATCTCACTTGTTCTATTGCCAGGGGTTTGCAACACCATTTAGCTACAGAGAAAAGTGAGTGAGTAAATCTTTTAATTAACCTCCATGATTATGCATCACGCTCTCTTCATTAAATGGATCTAACAGGGAGAAAAGCCAGTTGTTTCTAATAATTTTCTGGTTCTTTTGTGGTTTGTATACTTCAGTGTTCTGAAGGTCAGATAGAACTACCAGACCATAAAATCCAGCCAGCGAGAGATCTGGAGCTAAGAGAGCTCAAGGATTTATTAAGTGATGTGAAACTCTATTGTTTTGTGCATGTGTTACATAATTGCTGTCAATGCAAGGCTGTTAAAATTCCCTGCTAGTAATAACACGAATACCATTTTATAGCTTCAAGAGGAGATAAAAGAAGTTTCTTAGTCAGCACTTCAACAATATCACAGCACATGTCAGTTTTATTATTGTGGGGCTTTCAGTTTTGGCAGATGCTCTCCATTCTGGCTGTGGTGTGGTAATTACCATATAAATTAAGCAGTGAAGTAAGCTGAGTGCAGCCTTATCCCTGCTGCCTGTAACCAGGTTGCAAGTACTGCAGTGTGAAACAGGCATAATTCAGGCTGATTATATTTAGAAGGCCACGTTTTGAAATGCTGGGCCTTTATCTCCATTCAAGTCAATTTTAAAAGTAAATTGAAGCTGTTTAGTTGCTGTGCAAACAGAAGGATCATTCTTTCTCCACAAGGTACTCTCCATAATAACATTCCAGGAATTAGTTTAATCCATCCAGGTTTGATTCATAGCCACTAATTATATTTCAGTATACATTCTAATGCTTCAAATTATATGTGTCCTTACCTTAATGAGTTGTAACTAGTCCTTAAAATGGGAGCTTTGCACTTATCTTTTGTATTATAACAGGCTTTACTTTGAGATTTTATGGGATTAAACTGCTATGGAGAGTCTAGCTAAGATAGTGAGCTGAATTAGGTAATGGAATAATTTTGCTTCGCGTGTTTGTTCTTAATTCAGTTTAATTCTGATCAGTTGGGAAGCATTGGAAATGTTTATATCAAGATTCCAAATCCAAATTACTCAGATGATAGGGAGAAACTGGACATTTACTTCCGTGTGTTAAGTAACTGCATGTGTGAAGAGTGTGCAAAGAAAATAAAGATAATGTGAACACCTGGTGCTGTTTAAAATAATTAAAAAAAAAAAAAAAACAATGTTGGAAAACAAAAGCCTCAAAAGAAAAATGGTGCTACATAATTTTTTATTTTATTTTATTTTTTTCTTCTTGGTATCATATTTCAGAAGTCAAAGCATTTTGGAGAGCTGTGTAAGTTATGCATGATGTCATGGCACAAAGTAACATGTTTGCCAGTGTTTGTCAGTGAGCTGTTGATAAAGCTGATGACATTACAGTCTTTCAATAAATTCTCCTTTTAAATTTGATGTCACGAAAAGAGCTAGAGCAGCAATTTACTCCATCAGTGTGAGCATACAGGTAATTATATTTTGCTTTACTAGGCTATTTTCACTATAAAGTGTGAACCTGCAAAACTATTTGCTGCTTAATAGAAAACTGTTCTGATCTTCTAGCAGGGAAGAAAGTAAAATA